CATGAGTAAAAAATAAATTTAATAAAATTTTGTTGCAAAACATATAATTTAAATAACAATAATTAATTCTTTTTTCAAATCGTATAATTTTATAATAATTATTTATTATAGACTTCTTTTAGAAATATTAATGTATTTTATAACAAAGAATGATAAATAAAATAAAATGATAATTTTAGGAAATTTTTATAAACATTTACAATATTGATACTGTATTTATATATAATTGTTTAATTTTTCTTACACTTTGTATTAAGCGCTTAACAATTGAATTAACATAACAGTGAATCCAATGACAGAACCAATAAATGTAAATAAAAATTTCAAATTAATTGTAAACGTATTGAAAGCCATGTATTGAGTGCCAGAATAACGCTTGAAATTATCATTCAATGCATTATTTAATATCAATTCTCTTGAATCCATCGATTGATAGGTTTTGTCATAACATAAAAGCAATTGATTTACAGTCGGTCTATGGGTTTGAAAGTAATTGATTGCCAATAAATACAATAAATTAATTATTATAATACAAATATATTCAGTCAATCCATTAATTAAATCCAAATAAAACGTTTGATTGTATTGTTTAATAACACAAATATATGTCAATCGGAGACAAGAGGTGGAGAAGAGCTCACAAAACCATAGGAAAGGTATTAAACCCATGATATTATTCACGGACTCTTTATGTCTTTCAATGTCTAGTAATCTATGTTTTAAATGATTATAATCTAATTGATTGATCACTTTTGTTGGTCTAATTAATAGTCAATTTTCCATGAGATATACGCCATAACACGTGTATATTAACAGCAAATATGAGCCAATTATTAGACCATACAATTGTAAAGTCCATAGCATTTGAGCGATGATAATAATCATATATTTTGAATTAAATTCATGTAATATTAATAGTGATGTATAAGAAATGGCAATAAATATCAACCAAATAAATGTGATTACTTTTGAGCACATTTTCATACGCTTTCTCTCCTCTTCCGACAGATATGTTATTATATTAACTATTATTTCATTTATTTTTGTTGATTTGATTTCGATATAAATGAATACAATTATGATTATCATTAACTTTATTAAGATTGATATATCCCATAGATTTTCAACCATTTTTTGATATGTGTTAACAAAATTTGTTGAAATATGTATTTGCAATACAATTGTTGCGATAAATAGTGTTTTGAAAAAATACTTTAAATATTTTTTATAAGTATTTTTGCTTTTAGTCAATAGAAAGGTATCGTAACTTAAAGTTAAAAATATTATTGAAAATGGTTTTATATATTTACGATTGATTTTATCCATTGCTTTATTTATTACAATTAATAAATTATTTATTTATTTATTTAAAATAAACAAGTTATTTATAAAATTATACAACTATTTTTGTTAAGCAAAATGTCTATCATTGTAAATTATATTGTTCATCATACATCCAATGTGTAAGTGTAAATATATAAATTAATTTTAATTAATTAATATCATACTATTAATAATATGTTATTAAAATATAATTTATTGAAGCGCTGAAAATTAATTCAATTCATCAAAACAATTAAATTATTAACGTTTTAATTAATTACTTATGATTTTAAACAAAAACTACAAAATTCAAAACATTATAAATGATTGATTATGTTGTTTACAAAATTATTCTAAATTGATTAAACATGGTTTTACCTACGTTATTTTGTATTTTGTAAGTTATTTTGTAAATATAATTGCTTTTATAAATAATTTATAATACATTTATTTTTATATTTAAATGCTTGCAAATGGATTGAAACAAATTGAGTATACAATAGAACTTTATTGATAAATAGTTTAATTATTGGGCTAGTGCATATGAACTTTATTAAATAATTTAGTACAATAGGGTAACAAAAATCTTTAAAAAAAAACAGCGTTGCACCAATTAGCTTTGTAAGTGTTGATATAAATACCTAACTAAAACATAAGTTTGCAAATTAAACAATATAAAATAGATAAAATGTACTTAACTGTGTAAGTTAGTTATATAATTAATACGAGATAAAAATAAATCAATAAATACTCAAGTAATGAACGGTTTATAACTTATAAATTATAAGTAGTTTCAATTAGTATTAATCGTATGGCAACAGCGAAATACTCAAAATGAATAAACACTTCTCAATATTTACATTATTTTCATGTATTTTCTTCATTATAACGGGTAATTCACTTAACATTATAAATATAAATTGACTACAATTTCCACATTAATACAGTGAACGCTAGGCGGGAGTGCATCGCCCGGAAAGTGCCAAATGCGGACACAGTGTGCGTCTGTAACGCCACATATTGTGATGACTTGCCGGCCCTCCAGAGACCACAACCGGGTTTTGCCACTGTTTTCGAGAGCAATAAACAGGGGCTGAGGTTCAGGCAAACGGCCCTCAAGTTTGACTCAATGGCCAGTCAGTCAACGGCCGATCAAAGCGTCACAATAACCATAAACAGGACTCAGAGATATCAGTCTGTATTGGGTTTCGGCGCCGCCTTTACGGACAGCACCGGACAAATGCTTAAGTCTGTCAATCAATCGTTGGCTGATCTCCTAATTGAGAGCTATTTCTCGGCCAACGGTATTGAGTACTCGATGGGACGCATACCGATCGGCGGCACCGACTTCTCCGATCGGCCCTACAGTTACGACGACACCGACGACGACCTGGAGCTCAAACACTGGGCTCTTCAGAGAGAGGACACGGAGTGGAAGGTATGGCCCGAAGAGTATAACAGATAACATGAGTTGATAACTGACCACAAAATTGTTGTTTGTTTTTGTAGATACCGTTCATAAAACAGGCGCTGAAAGTGAGTCCACACAAACTGCGACTCTTCGGCAGCCCCTGGAGTCCTCCCGCGTGGATGAAGACTAACCATCGGTTCAACGAAAGCGGTTATCTGAGAGGCGATGTCGGCGGTCAGTACTACCAGTCGTGGGCCAACTATTTTGTCAAGTAATTATGCTCAACCATTTTATATTAGTTTTTTAAAATTATTACTTATAGACTATGAGTTATAGTTATTTTAATTATTGTTTTATTAATTATTTAAAATAACTACAATAATAACCAGGACATTAATTAAAAAACATTTTCAAATCATTTTTATCTAGATTTCTGGACGCATACAAATCACATGACATACCCGTATGGGGACTGACGGTAGAGAACGAGCCCGTGGAGGGACAACAACCCCACTATGGGTTCAATTGTCTCAACTTCACCGGACCGACGGAACGGGATTTTGTAAAACTAAACTTAGGCCCAACTCTAGCGAAGGCCGGGTATACCCCGGATAAGCTAAAACTGATGGTATTTGACGACAACGCAAACTTTTTGGCCGATTTTGTGAAACCAATTTTGACAGATAAAGAGGCGGCCAAATACGTGTCCGGTATTGCCTATCACTGGTACGGAAATAACCCGATGAGCGGGTTTCCCGACCCGTTCCTCACTGAAGTTCATAACACTTATCCCAATGTATTCCTATTGAACACCGAGGCGTGTCATTTGGATGGGGCCGCGTTGGGCCGATGGGACCATGGTGAAAAATATGCCTACGATATTATAAGGGTAAATATTGTGGTTCTATGGGTTTACTAAAAAATAACCCACATTAGAAACACTCATATTTAAAAATTATTTTTATGTACACCTTGTTTAAAACTTGTATTAAATTTATTTGTTTTAGGCGCTAAATAATTACGTTAGCGGTTGGCTGGAGTGGAATATGGCGCTGGACATGAATGCTGGACCAAGGTGGACTGGGGGTGGTTTTGGGGGCACACTTAACATAGACCCGGCTAAGGGCGAGGCCTACAAACAGCCCTCGTTTTACACTATCGGACACTTTAGTAAATTTGTTTCGCCCGACTCTATACGCGTTGGACATTCGGTCGACAAATCGGTGGCCAATCTATCGGTGGTTACCATTCAAAGGCCGGACAAACAGTTGGTTTTGGTGGCACTCAATGCCGGCGACACCGATATAGAGCTCGATATACGCGAATCGGGCCATAGATTGCGGTATAAAATAGCCGCACACTCTGTCCAGTCGTATATCTGGTAGTAATTAATGTCATTTAATTAAATATATATTTTAATAATTATGAATAAAATTTTGTATTTTGTTTGAGTTAGTTATTTAAATATGTAATAAATTTTATGTATAACAATGTTTACTTAATTTATAATTCAAATTTCAAAACTAAATTTTTAAGTTTAATTTATTGTAAGATAATAAATTAAAAGATTGGTCCTACTAATTTTATTTTCATAATTACAGTCCAATTTCTCTTGTATAGATATTATATTTGTTCAATTAGATAAATAAGCAATTTACAAGATTATGTCAAAATATGACCAAGTTCATTTAACCTTTATAAAAACAAATAAAATTAATTTAAAATATTGATCCCATAATTAACCTTAAATTTAAGCACTAAATAGGATAGAATAAAATAGGAAATGGCCTGATTATGATTATTTACGGTTGTAAATAGCATTGATAGCCAACATTAGTAGTAAGACACGTTTTGCCTGCTGTGGACACGCCCTCTCGTGGGCAGTTTCGGTATGAACATATTATTCTACATAAGTATTTTTTGTTTTAAAACTGTTATATTAGCGATGCGTTGAATAAACATGGCATAATTTGTTATGGGCAAAGTTGTATTGGATAACAGGTAACATGTAAACATGGTAAACACCAGCACCAGTACCCCACTCTCGCCAAACAATATGCTCAATATATGGCCAATACTTTGTGTCGATATGACGGCCAGCGATAGGGCGACGAAATACACGGCTTTCATATCTGAGCCGTTGCTTACGTCCCAAACAAACACAAATGTCATCAGAAATATTATTATTGGTGTCAAATCGATTAGGGTTTTCACCATGAAATACGATTCTGTACTGTACCAGACTATACAGCAATAAATAAATATAGTTCTTAAAAATTATTTAAAAATAATTAAAACTAATGACTAGTTAATTAAAATCCAGATAAAAATTTGTAGATTTGTTGCGTTACAATACAATAGCAATTAAGCACAAGTTTTATGTGAGAATAAAAATGCTTACTTGTTATGTAATTAACAATAGTGCATACTTTTGTTTAATTTTCAGTAAATTTTCAATTTAAATTAAACATTTCCAGCGTTTAATTAATATTAAATAAATAACAAAATGCCAAAAATATCCTAATATAAGTGAAATAATTGACTCACAATTTCTATATTCATGAACAAATATTTTGAGATGATTTGAAAAGGTAAACGACGCGTACATTGCTTGTATCACCAGAAATATCATTACGATAAATAACGTGTAATTCGTGTAATATTGTATAATTCGCTCGCTTTTCAATGTTTGCTCCGTTTGTACACAATATGTGTTGTTTGTGAACATATCGACACAACTGCTCTCTCCGTCCAAATCAAACGCAAACAACATTTTTGCAAATATAAAACATATTAACATTAAATAATAGAAAGATATTATTATTTTCCAATTGTATCGCAACGTGAATGTGATTTCTCTCATCAATAAGTGTCTCAATTCTTGTATTGAAAAGCATTTGGTTTTAATGGGAATCCCATTCGCGTATAGTTTAAGTTCAGAATCTATTCTACTATTGTATGCATTATTCATGTCTTCATTTGTTTTCATTGATAACTCAATGACAGTCTTGTCGTTGAAACCATTGGCACATAATTTCATCAACACTTCAATCGGTATTTGATTTTCAGTGCAAACGATATGACAATCGTTTAGATGTTTTCTCAGATCTTGCGGTCGACCCGTATATACAGTGAAACCGCCTTTCGCTAAGATATACAACATATTGAATGTCATTATTATCTCGAGGTTTGGCTGATGTATGGCTGTTATGATTGACAGGTTATGTCTTTGAGATAATCTCTTAAAGCATTGTATCATCTGTTGTGCAAATTAATAGTATTTAAAAAAATATTTTCCTTAATTATTACCAAAAACTATAATAAATACCAAAAGCGCTGAATAGTTGTCGACACCAGAAGTCGGTTCGTCAACACATATGAGGTTTGGTTTGATTTGAGCCGTCATTTCCATTGCCATTACAACACGTTTTTGTTGACCAGAACTGCATTTCTCAACATTTATTGACTTTATGTCCCAAATGTCTAACTCTCTCATCAGTTGTGAGACATTCAACTCGTGGTCGAAGACATCACCAGTGGATCCGTTCTTCAGTTTTGACGCATAAATCAGTGTTTGCTTTACAGACAAACCCTTCATAATGTGTTCCCTTTGGTCCTGAGCTATAAAACAAGTCCTGATTTCTCTATCGTTGGATAAATATATTTTGCAATCTTTTGTCATTAAATTCCTATTCATGGCATTCAATGAGCGGAGAAGTGATGTCTTTCCCGCACCCGACGGACCCATTAGTGCACACATTGACCCAAATTCAACGAAACCCTTAATACCTCTCAATATTAACTTTTCGGACGAAAACAAAGTTTTGTTTGCCTTTAAAGTCATATCAATCCACGCAATACTCAGTTGTCTTTCGGTATATATTTCCTCATTAATTGATAATTCATTGATATTATTATCAAAACTGTTTAAAATGTTTACTCGACTTTCGATGCAATCATAATATATTGAATGTGTTTCACAATTGGCCACAATATCAGTATTATTTACTAATCGTTTGTTTGGAAATAATTTCGTAAAATAATTCACCAATTGTTTTAAATTTACAATTAAAGCAATTAATGTCAAAAGTTTATAAAAAGCGCACAACAAAATCGCGTATAACATATATTTCCAGACACTTTCATCATTTGTCAGGTTATATAAATATAATGTTTGTGATATTTGCCCGTCAGGGCATCGATCTAGACCATAAATCGATAGCAATTGCCCTAAACCAGGCCATCTCAGCGGGGCAAAATAACTTAATACCTTAACCATACGATTCATATCAAGGTTACTGATAATAGTGCCGGTAAATAACGGTCCGGATATAGCCAGTAGTGTACCAATCATTAAACATATCATTGCATTTGGTATTTGTGTAACAAAAAGTGCTGACAAACAGTCGATTAGATTCAATGCTAATACGTTTAGACACAGAAATGGCCAAAATCTTTGCCATTCATTCAATTGGTTTCCGACAAAAAACATAATCAAACCCATAGTTATTGCATTAATAGTGGTTGGGATAAAATGGTATACACTTTGGTTTAGTAGATATGCACCCGAACTATACCAACCTATGAGGGAACAATTTGTAGATAAACATGTACATTAAATTAATTGATATTGGTTAAATTATGTGCAATATAAAGTTAACTATTAAATAGTTAGAGTTAATTCATTTTAATCTATACCGTTTTTGTGTTCATGTTTATAACGGGTAAACTGTTCGTACATTAATAGCATGGATATAATGCATTGAAATGTTTGACAATACCAATGATTAACCATAATTAACATCATATTAAAGTAAGCATTTTGTTTTTTATCCATTAATTCAAAGCAAGTGCTATTTTCTTTGACACCTAAACTGAAACAATCGCTCATTTGTCCCACATTTGAGCCGTAAGACAGAGTCACAAATAAAGACATTATTGATATTAATGTCAGATTTAGCACTAATTGTATCCATTTGTATGAATACACTTCTAATGAAGTTCTCATTAATAAAATCCAGACGTCTTTCAGTGAAAAGGATTTGGTTTTATGTTTAATACGTTTAGGTTTTGTTTCACTCAATATTATGTCCAAACTTTGTTATTTTAGTGCATAACAGAGTAGAGAATTAACAGCCTGTGAAAGTAGACTATACGGAAACCTACGCTAACACTACTCACAGAGCTAACCCTAGACTAAAACTAATGTACAATACGGCGTCCGCAACTCGTGTTGGAGCTCAGCCAGCCCTCCCGGGGGTATCTGTGTCACTGGGGGAAAACGGTTTTGTATGTTAAACAGTTTGTCACTGTTGTGCAGACTTAAACCGACTACATACCTACGCTACTAGCTATACAACACGAAATGGGCCAAACTTTGCAGACATTGTACTACCTGTTAGTGAATTGAACATGGTAATTTTAGTTAAATAAATTATAGTAATGTTACTGTGATTACTGACCACTTGTGCGATATTAGTGTCCAAACCAGTGGTCGGTTCGTCACATAATATAAGGTTTGGTTTGTGTTTTGCCGTTAACTCTAACCCAATGGCTAACCTCTTGAGTTGCCCTCCACTACACCTCTCGGTCTTTGTGTCCATTGAGTCCGAAAGCAACAGATCTGACAAAATGGTCGACACATTCATCCAGTGATCAATTGGTTCACTGATTGACGAGTTCTTCAGTTTTGAGGCGTAAATCATGTTTTGTTTTACAGTCAAACCCATAATCAGAAACTCATTTTCGTTGTGTGCGATAAAAGTGGACCTAATTTTGTCCGTAAGACTCAGCCGTATCTCCGATTCGTGACTCAAACCCCAGTTATTGAGACCATTGAAACACCTCAACAGTGATGTGAGTCCCGCACCCGACGGACCCATAACTGCCGTCAATTGGCCCAACTCTGCCCTTCCGTTCACTCCATTCAATACTATCGTCTCATATGATGCCAAGACTGAGGATCTAATCCTAAACGAGAGGTTAATCCAAGCGATCGATGTCTTCATTTCACTCATACTTTTATATTATTTATCACTAAATCTATAAATCTATCGCTAAATACACATGTTTTGACAAAATTACTGTTTCCTACAAATATGTTTCAATTAGTTACTAGTTTTCAATATGGGTTTTAAACACACGTATAACGTATTAAAATCCTTTATTTTAGTTTCTTTATTTAATTAAAATATTCAATTTTTTCTATTAGTTGTTAAAATAAATTTTTAATAAACAACATTTAGTAATTAAAAGTTTATGCATAAATAATTAAAAGGGTGTAAATATTAGCTCAAATATACTGTATAAATACTTTATATTTTTAATTATTCATAATATAAATCTAATTATAATTTTAAAAATAAATACTATTATTAATAATTAAGTTATTTAAAGTTGATTTTAAAAAGATATAGATAATAAAAACATAAATTTATTTATTTTTTTGGCTTTAGGAATCTCTAAAATATGATAAAATTTTATGCTTTTGACCAGTATAAAATACCTAGTGCACTTTTTGCTTTAGTTTAATTAATTATGTCCACAGACTGTTTATAGATTTTCACATCACAACTATTTTATACAAACATAATATTACGTTAAATATTTGGTAATAATTTTATGATGATTAATTATGTTTGAACATGATCTTTCAATAAATTATAAATTATATTTATGAAATCTTATAATTATTATTTTACATAAATATATATTTATTTATAGTCTAAATTATTAATACTGTATTAATACAGTAGTACAAGTCAATATAGATCTGTATATTGATTTTAGGTCATAGAATATACACAATATATAATATAAAGTTTATTCAAAGACGTTAATTTAGTTGATATTTATTATTTTGAAAACTTGTGTTAAAATATTTCAATAATGCTTTGCAAAAGTAATAAAATTCATGTAATTTCCAAAATGTTGAAAGTGGACAAAGTATTGCCCGAAAGGCTGGCTATACGTAAAGCCGGCACTCATTTCTATAGTATTGGTCTCTCGATGTATAAGCCGTTCAATGCACGCCGATCGGTATGCGTCCCATCGAGTACTCAATACCGTTGGCCGAGAAATAGCTCTCAATTAGGAGATCAGCCAACGATTGATTGACAGACTTAAGCATTTGTCCGGTGCTGTCCGTAAAGGCGGCCCCAAAACCCAATACAGACTGATATCTCTGAGTCCTGTTTACGGTTATTGTGACGCTTTGGTCGGCCGTTGACTGACTGGCCATTGAGTCAAACTTGAGGGCCGTTTGCCTGAACCTCAGCCCCTGTTTATTGCTCTCAAAAACAGTGGCAAAACCCGGTTGTGGTCTCTGGAGGGCCGGCAAGTCGTCACAATATGTGGCGTTACAGACGCACACTGTGTCCGCATTTTGCACTTTCCGGGCGATGCACTCCCGGCGACCGTTCACTGTATTAATGTGCAAATTAAGGTCAATTTATATTTGTAATGTTAAGTTAATTACCCGTTATTATGAAGAAAATGCACGAAATTAATGTAAATATTGGGAAGTGTTTATTCATTTTGAGTTTTTCGCTGTTGCCATACGATTAATACAAATAAAAACTACTAATAAACCGCTTATAACTCGAGTATTTATTGATTTGTTTTATCTAATAGTAGTATTAATTATATAATTTACATTTACAGTATATTTTATCTATTTATAAGCTAGTTAAGTGTTTACTCTTATAGTTTATACAGTTTATTGGTACAGTCCTATTTATTTTAAGAGTTTTGTTACAGTTATTTATCAAATACTGATGCACTAATTTATTTAATTATGTTCGTATGCATTAATCCGTGGTAAAATACACAATTAAATGATAATGTCACTATAATTGTATTTTGTGTGTAAATTGTTTAATATGTTGAATTTTATATTAGGTAGTGTTTGCACATGATTAGAAAATACACAACACATATTAGATTGCTGTTTACATTAAAAAATATTTTAAAATATTAGATCATTGTAAATTTAAATGCACATTTGTAATTAATATTTAATTAAATAAATAATTGAGTGCAACAAGGTGGTTATTCAAGAAAAAATATTCATAAATTATATTGTGATAAAGTATTATTATTAATTAACTAATCATTATAATTATTATATCTTGTTTAAGTGTTGATTAAATATAATTTTATTATGCGTTTAAATATCATTATTTGACACAAAACAAAAGTAGTTAGTTTATTTTTAATTATATTATTGTTTGCTTACGTATTCTATAAAATATTTTATTTTATTGTAAATTTATTTAGAAGAATTATTTCGTTCAATTTAGTGTTTTGCAAACGTTATGTAAATGTTAAATACACTTCAAATCTTCCCAAACCTTCGGATATTTATCGCGAATCCATTGATTGAAAAAATTTCATTCCAAAGATAAAATATCTTAAATTGAAAAATTCAGTATTAGTCATAAAAACACAAAAATTCTCGATATTTTCAATATTTCAATTTAAGATATTTTATTTTTGGAATGAAATTTTTCAAAAATTTTTTTTACTAACATTATCAGCATTGAATGTAGTTTTTAAAAATACAATTAATTATATTGAAATATAAAATTATTTGTTGTCCCCATAGGTTAACATGGGGAAATTGGCTTACTTTGTTCACTTGCTATGTAAAAACGTGCAATCAAATAATGGTGGATCTTGGTTATTATAACACTTTGACATCTGCTTTACATTACCCCCATCCCACCCCTCTTTGTGATAAACACGATAGCCACAAACTATGGGTCTTGCAAATGCTCCATTTTCGAATAAAAATTGTCACGTGATTAAAAAAATTCTAACCCTCAATGAACGTCCCGACGTTGATCTGTATATGTGTGAAGTTTCAATATTATCACCTTAATGGTTCCAGAGTAATCGCCAATCTTACTCGGTCTAATTTTTTTGAAGATCCTTATATATACTGTACAATGCAATGGCAATACTTTATAAAAATGTATACATAGGGGCAGACTGTCTCCCGAATATGTGTGTACAGTATATATTTACATAGGTATATGTGAAACCCTCATTTGGGAACTAAAAAAAATCTATGATCCCAAATGAGAAAATATAATATGATAACTTAAAAAATATGAAGGTTTATATTTCTCTTTCAAAACATGCGAATGGCTACAAACACTAGTTATGAATTAATTTCTAATGGGGGCATAGTTCATAACAACAATAGGCATTAGCATGTTTAGTATGTCTCAAAAGTTTTAATGAATTGGTTTTTAAGTTAAATTTACATTCTATTGGTAAATACTTTTAATTTTAAATATGTATTTTATTTTCCACATGAAAAATTCATAGAAAAATGGATTATCACTCTTTTCAAGTCTATCAAAAATATCAGCAAATTGCTCATCAGTTGTGATAACAGACAACTTGTATATGTTATATAGTATTTTACCACTCGTTGGCCATTTGATAGGGAATACCTCAAGCATCGATTATTTATTAAATGTTTGTTATAAATGCTTTAATTATTATCACATTAAATTGTCATTAATTTCGTTCAAATCAATTGTATTATTAGTTAAATGATATTTATAAGCGTAGAATTCGATGAAACTATTAAATAGAGTTTCAATCACTTGTTGCTGTTTAGAAATTTTATAAATTTTGCCATTTTGTTGGACAACAACCGGGATGAATTTATTTCTATCGTGAATGTTATTTCTGGTATAAAAGTTATTTTCAACGATTACAATTGAAACCAATGAATTATTAGGCTGTAAGTCATCGAATCGATATTCAGATGGTATGTGTTTCGGGATTTTTGCGAGAAATACGTTATTATTTTGATAATATCTGCCGCAAAAGTATAGCAAACCAGCGGTTGTTAGGAAATATGTGTTGAAAATACTACAACTGATTGACTTTACATCAGTTATGGTTTCAATCAAACGGGGTTTGAATATATGGCTATCAGTTAAGTCGTGTCCAACGTCTTGCCCACTATTGTCACCCCAACTGAAGGCCTGTCCATCAGTGGTAATGGCATACGAAGAGCCATAACAACAGTAAATGAATTTTATTTTATAGTTATTAATGAATTGTAATTCAATTGGCTTTGAAATATTTTCACGATTATCATCGCAACCAATTTGACCTAGGTTGTTTCTACCCCAGGCATACACCCGGCCATCACCGGTGAGAGCCAGTGTGTGATATATACCGCAACTGATCTGGATGATATTTTTATCACTAAAATGTTGTATCAATTCTGGCGTAAGATGATCATGGTCATTTTGATTATTGCGGCCCAATTGCCCCCATTTATTACTGCCACAACTATATATCATGTTTATGTCATTCACTGCTAATACAAAATCCAATCCATTGACAAAGTATTGTATGTTTTTGTGACATAATTGTGGGACCAGTTGTGGTGATAGTATAGGACTGTTGTGTCCAAAACCCAGACATCCATTGGTATTAAGACCCAAACCATAAACCATATCATCTCTTGTAACAAACAAAACATTGAATTTTTCATTGAAATCCAGAAAAACATGCAATTTTGTAATAACTTCTTTAATGTGGGTTTTATATTGACTATCACTGAAAATCTTTGTTAAAATTTTGTCATCTATAAAATCAATGTTCAGTTTTGATGACATTTGCTTCTTGACTATTGTATTGTCACGTTTATTAGTAGATTCTGTGGCCTGATTATCATTTCTTAATTTACACAATAAAAAGTCATAGAAAAATGAATTGTCGTTAAATATTAATTTTTTCAAAAATTCACTGAATGTCTTATCGGTAATGATTATCGACTTATTAATAGACCATTGGTTATAGTTTTGTAATACCTGAGCACTGGTCGGCCGGTTGTCATACATTCCGTGAATCATTAATTCAATTATATTACATATATTAGTAATATTGTCAGAAAATTTAGTTTCACTGTATATTTGTTTTAAATTATTGCTATATCAATAAAATAATAATTAATTAATAATATAATTTTTTCAAAATCCTAAACAACTTACATATCTATTTGAAACAAATCCAGTCCAATTGTACCCAAACTATAAATATCTGATTTAGTGTTATATATTCTACCACGGCGTATTTCTGGTGCCATATATTTCCACGATCCTACATCATGGGTATGGCTCTGAGACTCCGTATTGTGTTCAGTGGCCAATTGAAAGTTACAAAGTTTTATAAACCTATTTTTGTCATTGTATGAAATCAAAAAGTTGTCGGGTTTTATATCCCTGTGAATAATTGGTGGATTCAATTCATGCAGATATTGAACGCATTGCAATATTTCCCGATATATTTCACAACAAATGAAATATTCAATTATATCGATAGGTTTGGTATCGCTTTCCCAATACCCAAAATCTTTATCCATTGATTGTCTCTCAAATATATTCGGTTTGTCCTTAAGTACAGTGCGAAGACTTTGTGTGCAATACTCCATCTGGATATATAGGTGCGGGCCTTCGGTCCACGAGTTGTAAAATTTTACTATAAAATATGAATCCAATTTTGCCAATATTTCTGCTTCTTTGAATGTTTGGTATTTATTTCCGGTATGCTTTTTTATGCTAACATCTATTGCAATAAATTGTGATCAATTTAAACAGTGATATTAACGCAAAATACAGCTCCACTTACCTTCAAGTTGTACTTTTTTAACGGCATATATTTTATCCTCCAATCTATGCTTAACTTTATATACTGTCCCAAAACGACCCGTACCTATGGTTGACATCTCAATGAATTGTGTGTAGCATTTGACGTGAAAGGACTTTCAATAATATGATCTTCGTTGGGATTGATAGTATTTACTTTAATTAAGTCAATAGTATTATAAGAAATTTGGTATTCATTGGCGTAAAAATCAGTAAAATTATTATAATTTGTTTCAATCAATTTGTGTTCATTTAATATTTTAAATATTTTCTGATTTTGTTGAACACATATTACATTGTTTGTATCGAAATATGAAGTTACTTGTTGTAATTCTTGAAAATTATAATTATATAGTATTTGTTTTGGTTGTTTTAATGTTATTGTCTTTTCACCTTCATAATATTCTTATGGCTCTGTCTTGAGATAATATATAGTGGCCGGAGCCTTTACTCTGCCATCTGAGGACCTTTCGATGCAACTCAGTCAGAGAGCCCTACTTCACAAGGATTGCACTGTCAGGGCGGTTGGTTCACAGTTTTAAGAGGACAACCCGGACCCTCCGCTGTCTACCACTGGTGGAGCAGTGATCAGAGAGCTACCAAATTACGCCCCTTGGTCAGAGCCGCGGTCGTCGCCTCCGCAAGTGGACCTTCTCTACAACTGATCCCCGAAAGAGGACAGAAGAGCAGTGCGCCCACCAGGACTTGAACCCGCTACCTTAGGCATGAGTGCGAGGCTCCCTATCCACTGAGCTAACGCCCTAAGGTCTCTGTCTTGAGATACAAGATGGCCGACCAGAATAATGTCGTGGAGAGGGATGAAAGGTATATCTCTGGTTGAAAGTACTTTCGACCGGAGATATAGTTCACGTAAGCGGCGGTCGGAGTCCTTGTGGAGCGACGCGTGATGAGCTCCAAAGCAGATACAAATGTCCAGCTTTTACGAAAGCAGCGATTTTGTCTCAGCTTTTGTTTGTATTTAAATTACTTTATTTGTAGCACAAAATAAATGATAAGAACTTAGATTAAAATACAATTAAGACAATTGAGTAAAATGTAGTGAAGAGCTGGTCCAGTGGTGGCCGATTAGCTTATAAGACAATTAGTTAAAATGGTTGGCACTCAGATAGAGTGGAGTCTATGTTGCGACCGAACAGTGCGCTAAACAAAGAGAGACTGAAGAGACACATGAAAGGCATGGCTCTTAAATACAGGTAAGTATTGAGTTAAAGTTTGGGGAAACCGTTGTAAACCCAATGCTATGATTGGTTGGAATACAAGGCATACAATTCAAAACTTAGGGAAAATTACAGAATTACATCTAATAGAAAGTTTAGGATATGTGAATCATGCGATCCATATCAATATTTTCCACAAAAATATAAACCATTATTGTTCAAGAAATATGTGCCATAAATACTATAACAGATTTGTTTTACATTGTTTAATGTTGAAATTAATCGGGGTGTAAATACTTTCTCGTCGGTTATATTGTGTCCTAATTCAAGACCTCTATTGTCGCCCCAACTGAACACATGTCCATCGGTTGTGATGGCAAACGACGAGCCGTACGAACAATATATGTCTTTAATTTTATAATCAAATTGTAATTCAATTGGTGTACAAATATATTTAGTATTATCTCCGCAACCAATTTGTCCAAATCCATTGCCACCCCAGGCATACACCCGGCCATCACTGGTCAGCACAAGTGTATGGACATAACCACAACTAATTTGTATTACATTCATATTTTCAAAAAATGTTAATACCTCTGGTTTAAGGCAATCTTGTCCGATTTTATCATTCCGGGCCAATTGCCCCCATATATTACTACCAAAACCATATATAATATTTATGTCATTCACTGCTAATACAAAATTACATCCATTGACAAAGTATTGTATGTTTTGATGACATAATTGTTGTATAATTTGTGGCGATTTAACGGGTCTGATATGTCTAAGACCCAGACATCCGCTACAGTTATTACCAAAGCTATAGACAATATCATCATTTGTTATCAATAATATATTGATTAAATCATTCCAGTCGTAAAACACGTGTAATTTTGAAATATTTTGTTTGATATTTGTTGAGATTCTATCACAAAATTTATATTTTTCTATGAATTCATTCATTGTAAAAAATTATTAACTTACATTGTTATATTAATAAATATATTATAAACATATTTTTAACAGTATATTAAATATAACAATTGAATTCTTTGTAATAAAAACAATTTTATGCGACATTTCAAGTAAATGTAATAACAAATGAAAGCATTGGAAACACTGATATAATAGCAAAGAATTTTTACAATATGTGATAATAACTATAGTTTTTAATCTCTCAACACAATAAAATCTTAAACATAAGACTTTTTATATAGTAATTGAGAATATTTTTGATATAACTGAAAAAATAAATATTTAACAAACTAATTAATTAAAATTAAGACATTTTAAATAGTTTGTAAATTATAAATGCTTTGAAAAGTATAACTTATTTATTTGTCATCAATAACCACACATAAACCAATTAATTGCAAATGAGACAATAATACATAATATAAGTACATAAATGTGTAAATAATAATTTGATAGATTGAGGCCCCGGACGAGTGCCCCATAATTTGTGGCTAATTTTGATACAAGGAATTCATAGAAAAAGATGTTATCATTAGATTTAATTGTGTGTTTTATTTCTCGGAACTCTTGTTTGTTTGCTGTAATTATATGTTTACCGATTGACCACTGGTTATAATCTTGCAATATATCAGTACTGGTCGGTCGTTGAGTAGCCATTCCGTTCACCATTGATGTCAGAGTTTCACACAATTTACGATATTTTACGCAAATTGCTGTGGATTTGTATTTTTCCTTTGGATTACCACTAAAATAATAGAATTACATTTAATTATTAACATAATATAATACTGTAGATTATATCTAGGTCATGGGAGTTACAAAGTGCTTCCCATTATTAATCTGATGTTCTAGATTTTAGTATACATACCTGTATATTTCAAACAATTCATAACCAATAAGTCCCAGACTATAAATGTCTGCTTTGCAGTCATATGACTGAGAAAAGCCCACTTCAGTGGCCATGTATTTGCGAGTACCCGCACCCTGGGTTAGAGCTGTACGATCCTGGTTAGTGGCCAGACCAAAGTCACCGAGTTTTAAAAACACACCTTTATTATCGGTGCATAAAATTAATATATTTTCCGGCTTAAGATCTCGATGAATGATAGGATGCTTTAATCCGTGCAGATATTGTAGTGATTTCAAAAGTTCCCGAAATATTTCGCAAGATATGTAGTACTCGTGTGAAGACATCGGTTCCGCCGGTGATTGTCTGCCAAACACCAGCCGTTTGTCTGTGAATACTGTCCGCAAATTTTGTTCACAGCACTCCATATGTATGTATAAATGAATGCTTTCTTTCCACGAGTTATAGTACTTGACCACACATTTTGAGTCCAGTTTTGACATTATTTTCACTTCATTAATAGCTCGGCTAATTTTCTCATCAGTTAAATCTATAACAACAACTATTTAGTTAATTTTTATCAATTTTTGTAATTAAATGTAGTTATATTTACCCTCAAATTTTACTCTTTTAACGGCATATATCTTATCATCCAATCTATGCTTTACTTTATATACAGTCCCAAAAGCACCGGAACCTAGAATTGAGTCCTCAATGAATTGGTTTACAAAAATACTTTGTGTTATATTTGAGACCATTTTCTTTCAGTTCCAATAGTTTATATCGAGTTTTAGTTAAATAGTTTATTAGTAGTTAATTATTATAAATGATTCCATTATAATTAGTTATTAATCATTAAAATTATATGTTTTGTATAACTTTTGTATTATAGAAATTAAAGTGTATATAAAATAGAAAAATAATAAATAATATCTTTATAATAAAGTTAATAATTAATTACAATATTTAACCATACAGTTGATATACAGACATTTTTACCAATATTATTAATCAGTGATACCATTGGAAACAATCATTTAATAGTTCTTATACTGTAGTTGTTTTCACATAAATAATGATATTTTATTATAAATAATAAATATTTAAAACTCTTCACAGAAATTAACTTTTATTTGTTTTCATTTATATTTTACTTTAATTATCAATTTATTTATTACATAATTTTATAAAATTAGATTATTGCAAACAAAATTAAGTAAAAGTTTATTATAACTTTAGTTTATTAATAATAGTTTTCTTTTTCATTTACATTCCTTCATTAATTGTATATCTTTTAAACAAATGTTATGTATTTAGTAATAGTCTATTACTAATAGAGTAATTGGTATTTTTAATTTTACAAATAAAAATAATTAACATACTGTAGATATTATATTATTTTAAATAAAAACATAATTAAAAATACAATAAAAAAAGTTTATGTTACTTATATATTTATTGTTTATATAAAAGGTAATGAGTTTGACAAAACAAAGTTAATTGATATATCAAATTTTACATTAAAATTTTTTACTTTATCAATTAGTACCCAGTTTATTGTGCATAATCCTAACTTTGTATTTGCGCAAACTCTTTGTTTCATTGAGTTTGATAGATAATCAAATACTAATCAAAATTTGTCATGAACAATAAGTTCCGCATTATTTAATTGTTTTATTTTATCAAATATTTGGTTCAAAAATTGATCGCATTTTTTCTTAAACCCTTCAAACGTCGCGTAATAGTAGTCTTTATAATCGCATAAATGTATTGTTTTATAAGTCATTTGCATTTCAGTTAAAAAGAAATCAAAACTATTTGTATAATTAGTTTTCAATAAATTGTTTTTGTGATAAATTCTGTAAATTACATCATTAGAGATACCCATTACTAGAGAGGCCTTATGTTGTGATGAATACATAGCATATAAGTTATCGATTGAATTATTATTATCACTAAATAATTTGACAATTTGTTTATCAATTGTAGGCTCAGAATTGCTATTAAAATATTTGCCACAAAAATATACAAATCCATCGTTTGTTAAAAAATATGTTTGACTGCCCGCCGGACACACCGTTTGAATGTTAAATAAGTTATCAATGATTTGTGGTTTGAAAATATCATTACTTGAATTGTGGCCCAAATTATAATCATTTTTACCCCAACTAAACACTCGGCCATCAGTTGTGACGGCAAACGATGCAAACAATTGACAGAAAATGTTTTTGATTTTATATTCAATATTGTTCTGAAAAAACCGTAATTTTATAGGGATTTGTATTCCAGTCGAAAGTTGTTTATCGCAACCCAACTGTCCAAACATATCAGCGCCCCATCCGTAGACACAGCCATCATTGGTCAGCACAAGTGAGTGATTATAACCACAACTAATAGTAATAATATTAGGATTATTAGGCAATGATATAAAGGACGGCTTTAAAAATATTTCGTTTTAATATTGGGCTAATTGTGACCAATCATTACAACCCCAGCCATATATGAGGTCGTTGTTAGAAATCGATAGAACAAAAGTATTGCCACAAAAAAATTGTTGTATATTTTGTTGACATAATTCTGGTATAATATGTGGTGTATTGACAGCCCTATTGTATCCCAAACCGAGTGATCCGTAATAATTAGATCCCAAACCGTAAACCATATCATCGTTTGTAACAAACAATACATTATAGCCATTGATGTCATTGAAAACGTGAAATAACTTAATAATATTTAAATCAATAGTATCATTGTTTTTTAACTTGTTTTCGGCAATCTTTAAATTTAGAATTATTTTTTCGTAAAAATATTTGTAAAGATGACGATTACTTTCCTTTAAATTATTTACAACAATTTCATAGTTGGGATCAGTTGTGACAAGCATTGCATCGATAGACCAGTGGTTATACTCTTGTAATACTTGTCGACAATCGGGTCTATCCTTCGGTTTCAACGATTGCATAGAAATTAATACTTTTTGTAATTCAATCACACATTTATATAGAAGTTTATTCGACGAATACAATTCCGGTCTAAATATGTCACATTATATCATTATTAAAATTTTTTTAACAATTATATATCGAAAATAATTATATAAACTGTAGAACATTAAAAGTTTATTTTTGTAACAATTTTACATATAAATACTTATTATTACCCATTATTATTATTTTAATGTTCTACAGTTCATATTAAAATATACTTACAATTCACTTATCATTTTAATATCAAATATATTTTGTGCGATTTTGGCCGCACTGTAAACATCTGTCTTGTAATCAACAGTTTGTCCATTAGTTTCTTCGGGCGATAAATATTTCGCATCTCTTTTATGCGACAGGTTTTCAAAAACTTCGGTCAATCCGTAATCACACAGTTTTAGTCTCCATTTGCCGTCATTTGCGGCGATCAACACATTCTCGGGTTTGAGGTCCCGATGAATGACTGCTGGACTCAAATCATGCAAACATTGTATGCATTCCAATAATTCTGCGAATATTTCGCACGAAATGAAAAACTCCGACGAATTGATGGCCTCATCGGCCGATCGGCGGCCAAACGCCGTGCCTTTCAACGATACGACTGTCTGTAAACTCCCGAAACACAACTCCATCACAATATAACATAATGACGATTCGTTCCAAAATTCGTGATATTTGACGACATTTAGGGTGAAAATGTTTGACAACATCCTTAACATATCACTCATACCGTTGTTAACATCTTAATGATTTAAACATTATATAATATGTACTGATATTTATAAAAATATGATTTATTATAATTTACCTTGGTAGTTAACAATTTTGATAGCATATTTTTGTTTTGTAATTTTATGTTTAACTTTATAAACAGTACCAAAACATCCCGAACCCAATTCAGACAACTCGTCGTATAGGCGTTTGTATCTGTAAAACTTAGTGTCGTTTTTGTCTAAAAAATTTAATGTTTATATTAAAAATTTAAGTATATTTGAATATAATATATTATAAGATAATAATAATTGCATTAATGAATTTAATATAATTAAATTAAGAATTCCTATTTTTCCAAAAAAGTGGTTCAATGGTATTCAATGGCAATGATAAATTGTATGAGTGCCAATGCCTGTACCAGTGTTCGTGCCTCACAACAAACAATTAAATAATACGCGATTTGATTTAATAATAATCCAAAATTTCTCGGTAATTGCGACATTCTTAGAAAGATATTTTCCCTTGAGAAAGTAAGTTCTTATGCCATTTTTATCTTACGGAATTTTTGCATTTTTTGGAGGAAAAATAAGGGAAAATAATAATCTTCCCACCCGTAATGAACCTTAATTATATTGGATGTAAAATCATAATCTTCTATCAATACACATCACGAGTCTTTCATCAGTATACTAATTAAAACTGTAGTTTATGGTTTTAATATTTATTATTAATAAATTATTAACATAAATCATACTTTTTTCATAGAATTTAATTTTAGAAGACAACGAGTTTAAATAATATCCACATTTTTCACGAAATGCTTCCAAAGTGTTGTAATTATACGTATTATAGTTACTTAAATGTGTTGTTGTAAATGTCATTTGCGTTTCACTTAAATAGTAATCAAACATATTTGTATAATTAGTTTTTTGCAAATTATTTCTCGCATCAATGGTATAGATTATATTATCTGATATACCGATAATATGAGAAATGCTTGTTTGACTTGATGCAAGTGTGCAAATATAATCTAGGCGCATTTCGTTGTTTACAAAAAATTTTGTGATTGATTTTTCAATTGAGAGACAATTATTAACACTTATATTTTCACCACAAAAATATAAAATTCCATCGTTTGTGAGAAAATATGTTTTAGTAAATGTCGGACACACTGTTTGGATGTTAAATAAATTCTCAATAATTTGTGGTTTAAATACATTATCACTTGTATTGTGTCCTAAATTACACTGATTTTGACCCCAACTAAACACTCTGCCATCAGTTGTGACGGCAAACGATGATTGATCTCCACAATAAATGCTTCGTATATTATATTCAATCCTGTTATATATAAATTGTACTTTAGTTGGTACGTTTATTCCAACTTCGCAACTGTCACAACCCAACTGTCCAAACATATTACCGCCCCATCCGTAAACACAGCCATCACTGGTCAGCACAAGTGAGTGATTATAACCACAACTTATATCATATATAACAGGATTATTAGGCAATGATATAATCGAAGGTTTTAAATATTTAAATGATGATGTTGATAACTGCGAATATTTATTGCAACCCCAATAATATAGAGTGTTATTATCAGTAAGAGATACAACAATTTTATTACCGCAAATAAATTGTTGTATATTTTGTTGACATAATTCTGGTATAACTTGTGGTGTATTGACAGCCCTATTGTGTCCCAAACCGAGTGATCCGTAATAATTAGATCCCATGCCATAAACCATATCATCGTTTGTCACAAACAATACATTGTAGTCATTGATGCCATTGATGTCATTGAATACGTGAAATAACTTAATATTATTGATATTAATAATGTGATTTGTTGATATGCAATTATTTTGAATTATTAGGTTTTCAACAATTTTTTCAGATAAATAATCAAAGAAAAAATTGCAGTCATTTTGTTTGCAGTCATTTACGATTTCTTTAAAGTTTGTATCAGTTGTCACACAATTGCTATCAATAGACCAGTGGTTATACTCTTGTAATACTTGTCGACAATCGGGTCTATTATCTGGTAGTCGAGTCGTCATTGAATTAAGTATTTTTTCTAAGTTCACAATTTGTTCATAAAATTTATGATTCCTATAAATTTCCAAATAATTTGATCTATAAATTAGAAAACAATAATTTAATGTATTATTTATAAGTGATTAATAATAAGGAAATTACTCGAAAGGAGTTAAACAAAACAATTGGAAAGCTAGAACCGCCAAACTATAGATATCCACTTTTGTGTTATAGTCATTGTTTAGCCGCACTTCTCTAGCCATATAAATACTTGTGCCCACACAACCAGTATGTCTCGTAGCATCGGACCCCTCGTGTACTACCGCCACATCAAAGTTGCATAGTTTAAAATATCGACCATTTTCAACATTATTAGTGATCACAAAATTATCGGGTTTGATGTCCCGATGAATGACTGCTGGACTCAAATCATGCAAATATTGTATGCATTCCAACAGCTCTTTAAATATATGACACGAAATGTAATATTCAATTGCATTCATTGGTTGTTCGGCTGATTGTCTCCCAAAAGCAACCCCTTTTAGGTCTAGAATTGTTTGAAGACTTTGCAAATGAATCTCTGTATGAATGTATAGACAATTCCCTTCGATCCACGAGTTGTAATATTTTATCACAAATTTTGAGTCCATTTTGCACAATAATTTCCCTTCATTATTTATTTCAGTAAAAGCTGCAAAAATATTTATAAAATTTGTTTACATTTCGATAAAACAATATTATACTTACCTAAATGCTTGAATTGTATTTGTTTTATGGCATATATTTTGTCATCCAATCTATGCTTTACTTTAAATGTTGTATGAAAACTTCCCGAACTTAACTTTGCTATCTCAATAAATTGTTTATAATAAATACCATCGTTTGAATCTGGGTCGATTTTATTTGATATAAACTCATAGAAAAATGAGTTTTTATTGGATTTCAAATTATTTAATTTTTTGTGGAGTTCGTTATTATTTGTGATGTTTTGTTTATCTATAGCCCAGTCGTGATATTTTTGTAAAATTTCAGTACTTGTGGGTCGTTTTACTGGATTAAATTCAATCATTGAACACAGAATATCATAAACACAATTAAATTGGACCTTAAATTCGGTTAATTTATATGCTTCTACCGGATTTTTACTAAAAATATTTTCAAAATAAACAATTTAATATAACATTATTTTACATAGAATATTGTATTCATAGCAATATTTACATTGTGTTGATTTCGAACATTTGAAATCCAATCATTCCGAGACTGAAAATATCTGCTTTGAAATCATACGTCCCGTTGAGACCCACTTCATATGCCGTGTAATTAGGAGTTCCCGCCCCACGGGTGTGGCTCATGAGTGCTCTGTTGTGTTCAGTGGCCAAACCAAAGTCACCCAATTTTATAAACGTATTATTACAAGTGTTTTGCAAAATTAAAATATTCGCCGGTTTTATATCCCGATGAATGATCGGTGGGTACAGTCCGTGAAGATATTGTAAGCATTGTAAGAGTTCTCGAAATATTTCACAAGACATGAAAAATTCATAGATATTAAAGGGTTGTGCGGGTCTTCTATTAAAAAGCGTATTTTTCACTTCGAGTACATCCCGTAGACTTTGTTGACAAAACTCCATTTGAATATATATCCCAATGGATTCAATCCACGAGTGATAATATTTAACCACAAAATATGAGTTACATTTTGATAACATATGAACTTCTTTAAGAACTCGAGTTTTTTCCTGTTCACTAAATTCTATAATATATTGTTAAATTAAAAGAATTGTAAATTATAATACATATTAAATAAATTTAATATTAAGGTACTACCTTTAAACTGTATTTTTTTAATGGCATATACTTTATCATCCAATTTATGTTTAACTTGAAATACTGTACCAAAATCACCCGAACCAATAATTTTAATCATAGTAAATTGCATTTTATATAATGCATTATTAGTATTATCGTTCAGTTTATTATAATTAACACCCAAATTATTTGTTTTATTTAATAAATAGTTATAGAAAAATGAATTATTACTAGATTTTAATGTATTTTGTATTTCAGCGAATTCTATGTCATTTTCAATAACTATTTGTTTATCAATAGACCATTTGGTATAATCTTCTAATACACTTTCACTCGTCGGCCGGTCTTCAGACCGATCCTCAACCATTGATTTAAGAATATAATGTAAGGCATTTACTTTATCCATGAATATGGTAGAATTGTATTTTTGATTTTTACTAATAATATAAATTAAATTAAAAAATCAAAATAAACATTTTTAGGAAAATTCATAAAATTATGGGAATTCAAACACTTTATATTGTTACATTATTACTTTATCAATAATATAATTTGTAAAATTGTTCAATAACGATAATTACCACATAGTGTAAACTAACAATGACTGATATTGTAATAGTGTAACAATAAAGCGTTACTGTTATCTCTGCGATAAAGTACATACATTTCGCTTATATCAAACAGTATATAACCAATACAGCCGAGACTAAAAATATCTGACTTAGTGTCATATTTATTAGAGGAAAATACTTCTTGTGCCATAAATTGTGAAGTTCCCACACCTTGTGTGTGGGTCATCGTTGGCTCGTGATATGTAGCTAGGGCTAAGTCACCCAATTTTAGGAACCTGCCATCGTTTGAGTTATTTAATATTAATATATTATCGGGTTTTATATCCCGATGAATGATTGGCGGATTCAATGAGTGAAGGTATTGCAGGCATTGCAATATTTCCCGGAATATTTCACATGATATAAAATATTTATATAGATTCATGGGTTTTTTCTCTTGTCTACTAAATACATGTGACTTATCTTTAAGTACAGACCAAAGTGTTTGCTGGCAATTCTCCATTTGTACGTACATACATTTATTTTCAATCCAAGAGTTGTAATATCTAACCACGTATTTTAAATCCAGTTTTGCTAACATTTCCACTTCATTTTGAGCAACCTTATGTTTCTCGTCATTTTCTAAAATAATTAGATTAATAATATTTGGTATTTTATTAAAATTGATTTTATTTTAACTATAATTCATTGAAAATTATTTGTTTGTAGTGTCGCTCAGCTACACCCTTATCAATTGTTTTCTATTTTAAAACTATTGTATAAAAGTGATATATGTTATTTACCTTTAAGCTGTCTTATTTTCACGGCATAAATTTGTTTGTCCAATCTATGGCTTACTTTATATACAGTTGCAAAACCACCGGAACCAATAATTTCCACCACTCTAAATTGATCTTCATAATAACTTTTATTTAATTTATTCGCCATTTTGATTCAACTTTATAATTATTAAATTGTTTATCTATTAAATTTATAATAATAATTTATAAATTAAGAATCATTTATAATAACAAAAGTTATTTTGTTCTTTACTAAAATGTAACATTAAAATGTTGAAATAAAATTATTATTATATTATTATTGTATTTTTTTGATGTGCTTTAATACTAAATAATTACAAACTTAATGCGCATAAAATATTATATTTTTTTATCATTAATACAAGTATCTTTTGATTAAGTTAATATTATCAATGAAAGTCAATAGCAATAAGAAATGATTATAATGCCTTATATTATCTATGGATATATAATATTTGATTGTTTTAATATTTATAATAGTAATAAATTAAATAATTACTAACAAACAAGAGTTAATGATATGTTATACGCGTTGTAATAAGCGATGGCAAACTATTGGAATTTTTTTGATCTTTTATTACTTCTTTGTTACAAAAATATTTTATATTTATCAGTTGCAAATAATGTGGTTTATAAGATCGTTCTCCGCACTTTACCTCCATACGCATCCACCCCCGCTATATTGGATTTAACATTGGATTACAACTTGTCTATGCCTATACTTTACCCTGAGAAAACTTTCATAAGTTTCAAATAAATAACAAAATTCTATATTTTTTAGTAATATTTATACATTTTACCAGTTTGTAGACATTTTTGACAATAATTTTAATCAGTAAAAAACCATTATAAACTAATTCTTATTATGTTGCTTTTTATCAATTATTAGAAACAAATAATATTTAAATGTAATTAACCAAGTATTATGTACAGTGATTGTACAAGAAAGTCATTTGTTCCGCCGGGATTGTCTGCCAAACAACAGCCGTTTGTCTGTGAATACTGTTTGCAGATTTTGGTGACAGAACTCCATCTGTATGTATAGATGAATGAATTTCTCTCCACGAGTTATAATACTTGACCACACATTTTGAGTCCAGTTTTGACATTATTTTTACTTCATTTATAGCTCGGGTAATTTTCTCGTCAGTTAAAATAACAATATTTGTTAATATTTAACTTATTAGTTATTGTTTATTTAATCAATCTATAAAATTACTTGTAATTATGTACTTTATTAACCTTCAAATTGTACTCTTTTAACGGCATATATCTTATCATCCAATCTATGCTTTACTTTATATACTGTCCCAAAAGCACCGGAACCTAGGATTGAGTCCGCAATGAATTAGTTTACAAAAACACTTTGTGTTATATTTGAGACCATTTTCTATTCACTTTAAATAGTTCATATAGAGTTTTAGTTAAACAGTTTATATGTAGTTAATTATTATAAATCACTCGATTATAATTAATTAATAAACACAAGAATAAACAAAATTATATATAACTTTTGAATTATAGAAATAAAAATACATAAATAATATTTAATATGTTTAGAATTAAGTTTTTAAATAAATTCTAATATTTAACTATAAATATAAAATTGATATACAGACATTTTTGCAAATAGTATGCCTAAATAACTTATAACCATTGGAAACAATCATTTAATAGTTCTCATAGTTATTCTCACAAAAATAATGATATTTTATTATTTATTAAATATATAAAATTACTCAAAGCAGTTTACTTTCATTTGGTTTCATTTATATAATTATTAATTTATAATTTCTATAAGATTATAAAATTAAATTGAAGCAAAAAATATTTTAAATTTGACATTTAAAATTAATTTAATTAAGTAATAATATTATAGTTATTAATAATAATTTTCTTTTACATTACATTCTTTCATTTATTGTATATCTTTGAAACATGAAATGATAATGATAAAGTTGTTGGTATTTAAATTATAATTTAATAAAGAATAATAATTATTATTGTATTATTTTAAATAGAAACATGTAAATAAATAAATATCAAATGAAAAGTTTATTGTACTTTATTTATTTATTGTTTATATAAAAGTTAATGAGTTGGACAAAACGAAATTAAATAATATATTGGTTGATGTTTTTATTTCGCAATTATATAATTTTAGTTGGTTTACTTTACCTCATTTATTGTGTATTACCATCTGAATAAATCGAATTAAATTTTTAAACTAAAGTTATCTATAACATTAATTACTAACTTCATTTAACATAGTTAAATTATATATTTAGCAATATTAATAAATTAAGTTAATATTTTTAATTTTTTAAAACTGGGTCCATCTTATTATCAGTAGCATCGGTGGACTGTTTATAATTTTTTAATTTACATTTTATAAACTCGAGAACAATAAACAAGACAAATGAATTATCTATCAATTTTAATTTGTTTAGTATAATCATTTGACAAATCGGTATTTGTTTTCACACACAAAAACTCATAGAAAAACAAGTTTGCATTATTTCTAAGGGTATTTAATATGATTTTAAATTCTTTATTGTTTGCTGTAATTAATTGATTATCGACAGAACAGTTGTGATATCCTTGTAATGCACGTCTGCTTGTGGGCCGGTTTGCAATTAAGGATTCATTCATTGAACAAATCAAGTGATATAGTTGATTAAATTGGGCGGAAAACGAGGTAAAACGATATTTAACCAAAGGCTCGCCACTAAATGAATAACATAACAAATATAATACATATATAAATGTAATACATATATATGTAATACATATATAAATGTAACAAATATAAATGTATATTTATTATCTACCATTAATATTATCATTAATTTGAAATATCAATGTATTATAAAAATTAAATTACCGATTAAGTTAAGTTATAGCAATGTTAATTTTATGAACTCTATTGCTACGGTAAGTTTGTTACCGACACAAATCACTACCGACACACATTACATCACTGTATAATTAATTTCATTACGATACTCAGCTATACAGTAAGAATATCAACATGCATATGATAACATAGTTAAAAATTGATGAATAGTGGGCAAAAATTACATGAAATATTGCACTAATACATGGCTACGGGTTATGTATGTTGGACAAAATATTACTGTAGTTATATAAAAATGGATTATTTGCATTATACAAAATAAATTGTAAATTTAATCTTACATTTTTAAGTCTAATTCTGATAAAATATTTTGAAATAATTAACATTGAAGTTATAAAGAAATAATTGTATCGTTTTGTTACAATTACATACCTGGTGTTCAATTCAAACATTAAAATTCCAATGATTCCAATGCTATAAATATCCGCTTTTTTATCATATTTGTTACCCATCCCGACTTCCGGTGACATATAAGCGATTGATTCCGCCCTTTGAGTGTGGGTCATAGTTAGCCTGTTATGTTCAGTGGCTAAACCAAAGTCACCTAGTTTTAGGAATGTATTAGTTTTTGTGTTGTGAAAAATCAATATATTCTCGGGTCTGATATCCCTGTGAATAATCGGAGGGTTTAATTCATGGAGATATTGAACACATTGCAAAAGTTCCCGAAATATTTCACAAGAAATAAAATATTCGTAGATATTCATTGTTTGAGTCAGTTGTCGGTCAAACAATTGATGTTTGTCTTTGAGTACATCTCTGAGTGTTTGCGGGCAGTACTCCATCTGTATGTAGAGTTGTTTGCCTTCAATCCACGAGTTGTAATATTTTACCGTATAAACTAAGTCTAGTTTTTCTAAAATTTTCACTTCTGTCAAAATTTTCTGTATTATTTCTTCGGGAATATCTGCGAAATTTTTTAACATTTGTTACTATATTATTAATTCATTTATTATAAACAAATTTTAATAATATTTATACCTTCAAATTGCACTCTTTTAACGGCATATATCTTATCATCCAATCTATGCTTTACTTTAAATACAGTCCCAAAAGCACCCGAAGTTATGGCTGACATCTCAATGAATTGTTTTTTATAGTAACGATCATATAATTTACCGCTTAAATGTTTAGTTAATATTGGTTCATCTTTGAAATCAGAGTCGAGTTTTGATATCATTTGATTATCTACTATTGTATTATGACGTTTGTTCATAGAATCGGTCGACTGATTATCATTATTTAATTTACACATTAGAATATCATAGAAAAATGAATTGTCATTTAATTTCAGTTTGTTTAATAATTCACTGAATGTCTTATGGCTAATGATTATTGACTTAGCGATAGACCACAGGTTGTAGTTTTGTAATACTTGGGCACTGGTTGGTCGATTTAATACCAATGAATGAGACATTTGTCCAATTATTTCAAATAATTTGTTAAAACTTTGTGAAAATATGGTTTCAATGTATTTCCCATTCGGATTTTCACTAAAAAAAAGTAAATTAAATAATTCAAAATCAAATAAATATAAAATTTGTGTAATAAATGACATACATATTGAATAAATCAAACAAATGAAACGCAATCACTCCCAGGCTATAGATGTCAACCTTACTGTTATACTGGCGCTGTTGTATTTCGGGTGCCATATATTGTGCAGTTTTGACATTAGAGGTGTGGCTAAAGAATGGCATGTCGTGGAAAGTGGCGGAACCCAAGTCACTCAATTTTATGAAATGGTTATTATTGTTATTTAAAGAAATCAATACATTTGCCGGTTTAAGGTTACCATGAATAACCGGTGGACACATTTCATGTAAATATCGCACACTTTCTAAGAGTTCTCTAAATATTTCACAACAAATGAAATACTCGATGCAATCCATCGGGTCTTCCGGTTCTCTCCCGAAGACAATGTGTTTTGTGTCGAGAATTGTCTGAAGAGATCGCGAATAATAATCCATTTGAATATAAAAGTTGTTGCTTTCTACCCAAAAGTTGCGGTAATTCACCACATAATCAGAACGCAGTTTCACTAAATTTTGAACTTCATTCAATGTTTGTTTCATTTTATTCTCATCAAAAATATCTGTAGTAATGTGATATAAAATTATGGAAAATTATTTAATGTTCGTTTAATAAGGCATTAACTTACCAAAGAACGTAATCACTTTAACCGCATAAATCTTTTTTTCAAATCTGTGCTTTACTTTATATACACCACCAAACTTTCCAATCCCTATATTGTTCTCCGTTTCAAAATTATCCACAAAAAAGTTTTTATTTGATACTTTATCAAGAGCTTTAGATTCGCGAGAAACTACTAAACGATTCTGATCTATATGTTTACTAACTCTGTCATCGCATTCATCATTCCGTTGTTTAGTCTCAATCTTCTGCTTCTGATATTTTTGAGGAGGTGTATTACGCATCCCTTTATCACTCATTTTCACACTCGATGAGTCACTTTGAAACAAATTCCCGACTTTCGCTATAAAACTTCCGAATCTATCTTTAAAAGCCATAGGTTTGGACACTCTTTTATCCTCAAATGAAACTTGCATTTTATAATCTTGACTGTGCGATGGATTATCAGCTCCGGGTGGTTGAACAATTATTTTCCTCAATCTATCGAAAGATTGTGTTTTTAGTGATGGACTTGTGTAAAAAGTTACACTCGACTTAACATGATCACTTCTTGATAAGTTATCAATGTTAAATGGATCATTAGTCTCATCCGTAGGTGCCTGTTTGTTATAATAATTATAGTATCATTTTATAAAATGAATTAATTATTTGATAAAACAAATGCATTAAAATATTAATGAGATTTAATACTTTTGTGTTCAAAATACATTTGTTTCTTACCTTATTTATATTGTGTAACGGTTTAAATCTATCTGCATTAAAAGCTGTTTTGAGAATAGAAAATTAAAATTAATAATCTAAATATAGCATTATGCTAGATATAAAATAACATATTTCTAGTGTTAATCATTTAGGAACAAAGTTAAATCTATTAAATGTGTAATGTTATTCCTCTTTGATGAAGATTACGTACATTTATGATATCCTTACAATAGCATTGAAAATTTTGAAAACAAATTTGGTCTATACAAATTACTTAAATAAAAATTGCTAAAGAAACTTTGTTTCTTTTATTATTGTATATGTTTTTCAAAAATTTGTTTTTATAAATACCTTCAGCGCCCAGATATTTGATTTTACTTGTTTCTTCAGACACAGTTTGTTTAATAACAATTGTGTTATAAGTAATGTTGTATTCATTAGCGTAAAAATCGGTAATATTTGAATTATTTGTTCTAATTATTTTGTGTTGGTTAGATATTTTATAGATGTTACCATTTATTGAAACACATATAAATTCAATTCTATTCATAAAATATGAATTAATTTGTTGTATTTCTTGAAATTTATGTTCATTTAGTATTTGTATTGGATTTTGTTCAATCATTTCCGTATCGTTTTCATAGTATTCACCGCAAAAATATAGGCACCCTTTAAATGTCAAAAAATATGTGCCATAAATACTACAACTGATTAATTTCACATCATTTAAATTTAGTATTAATTGCGGTTTAATTACTTTACTATCAGTTATATTGAGTCCTAATTCATAGCCTCTATTGTCGCCCCAACTGAACACATGTCTGTCGGATGTGATGGCAAATGAAGAGCCATAACAACAATATATGTATTTTATTAGATGTTTGTCACTGAATTGTAACTCAAATGGTATCGAAATATATTCATTATTATCTCCGCAACCAATTTGTCCCCAATTATTGCCGCCCCAGACATACACCCGGCCATCACTGGTGAGGACCATTGAGTGATAGTTAGCACAACTAATCTGTTCAATAGTTTTATCTTTAAAGTATTTTATTATTTCTGGTTTAAGACAATCATGGCCAATTTTATCAGTTCGTGCCAACTGTCCCCATATATTACAGCCCATACCATATATTTTGTTGCGTTCATTCAATGCAAACACAAAATTCAATCCATTGACAAAGTATTGTATGTTTTCATAACATAATTGTGGTATTATTTCCGGTAATAGTATGGGTCTGTTGTGACCCAAACCCAGACATCCGTCCATATTATTGCCAAATCCATAAACAAACTCATCAGTGATGAACAACACATTAACACTTTTTCTCCAATCATAAAATATATGCACTTTAGATATATTTTTCCTTAAATTAGATGGAATTTTGTCACAGTTTGTTAACTTCTCTAACAATTCACTCATTTTGTAGTAATTTTAATAAACATAAATTAAATCTTTTGACTTTATTTAATTTTAAATATTTTGTTCAATATTTTTTTATGTTAGAAATACATCGCCATTACTTACAACATAATAGTAAAAACAGATAATATCTATTACGGTATATGTTATTTGTATAAACGAAACGAAATGAATCGTAATAATCAGTGAAACCATTGGAAACATTGGTTTATTAGCAAAGAATTTCATAAAAAATAATATATTATGATAAAAATACACCGTTTCTAAAGAAAGTTGTAAAACTTATAGACTATAGGTTATAGTTAAACAAAATGTTAATAACAATATACAATATTATTAAATATGTTACTATATGGAATTAAGTTTTATATAACGTTTTTACTTTTTATACAACTTTACTTTTATTATTTCTTATATGAAACCTGTTATTTTGCATTATAACATTATTTAAAATAAATTGTAGCCATTACTGTATTGCGTGAAATTATCATTAACAACTAATAAATATACTGATAATTTATAACGAGTTTTATTGTGTTTTACACATTAAAAACTCGTAGAAAAAATTATTTCCGTTAGATTTAAGAGCATTTTGTATTGCATTAAAATCCTTATGATTTATAATAAGCGACTTATTGATAGCCCAGTTGTCATATTCATTCAGTATTTGAATACTTGTCGGTCGTTTAGTATCCATTGACTCAACCATTGACCAATAAATAGCATTTAATTTGTTAAAATTGGCCGAAAACGTGGTTAAATCATACGTTGGATAAGAGTAGCTAAAAATAAAACATACATGTTAATGCTAAAATTTTTAATTAGTTTTTAAAATTATAACTAATTAAATAATAAGCATAATAGAAAATTGTATATTTAAATAATACATTACATTTCAAATATTTGTGCAACAATGATTCCCATACTATAAACATCAACTTTACAGCCATATGTGGGTAAAAACCCCATTTCCGGTGCCATATAGTTGACTGTCCCGACATTCTGTGTGTGACTTTTAGATAGCCGGTCGTGTTCGGTGGCCAATCCAAAGTCACCTAGCTTAATATTTGTATTGTTCATGGAAATTAATATATTCTCGGGTTTTATATCCCGATGAATAATAGGCGGCAAAAATTCGTGTATAAATTCAAGGCATTGCAAAAGTTCCCGAAGTATTTCACATGATATGAAATACTCAAAGATTGTCATCGGCTCTGCCGGTAATTGTCTGCCAAATACTAATTGTTTTTCTTTGAGTACAGAGCGTAATGTTTGCGGGCAGTACTCCATATGAATGTACAGATGTATGTCTTCGGTCCACGAAGAGTAATATCTGACCACAAAATTTGAGATCAATTTTGCCAAACATTTCACTTCATTCATAATTCTGTGTTTCTTTTCTGGGCTAAAATCTGTGAAATTTTAAAATTTATTAAAAAATTTATTTACAAAATAGTAAAAATGTTTACCTCTAAATAATACTCTTTTAATAGCATATTCTTTATTATCGTTTACATGTTTTACTTTAAATACTTTCCCAAAAGTACCGGAACCTACAGTAGCGATCTCGATGAATTGTAATTTATAATTACCTTCATTTGACATATCACATAAATCATTTAGCATTTTGTTTGAAAATTCCGTTGAAAAATTATTTAAATTGTTAAAAATAATTGTATATTAATACATGTATAATTTATAAATATAATTTATAGTAAATAATAGTTACAGTACTCAACGCCATATTACAAAATGCTAACGATAGCAATAATCAGTAAAATGATTTAGGTGATAGCCTTCTAAACTAAATGATAGATTTACAATAGAGTTGTGGCATTACTCTGAGCATTAATCTTTTTACCTTTATGTTATTCATAATGTATTGATTGATCTCAACAAAACAATGATACTTATTTCATGGTAATATTTCTTGCATAAAATTCAGTTAATAAACTTTATAACTAACATTATTAAACTTGATAAAATAATTCCACAAAAAGTTACATTGATGGAAAACATCACTACATCGTTTAAAACTTGTTATATTAAATATAATTAATTCCGCTTTTTATAATAATTTACTACAAATAATAAAACCATAATTAAATTTACCTTTATTATAATATTTAATATGATTTGTATTTAAACAAATGTTTTTAATTAATTAAGTAAATAATATACATTATGACTTTATGACATCATACATTTGTTTGTATTTTTAATTATTATTTATAAATAATATTAATCAAAATAATTGAAAAAATTTTCGTTTTTTTGGGTATAAAATCCATGTAGAAACCCATGTTTAAACATTCCCATTCTCCAAAGTTGACTAACCAAATGTACCGAAATGGTCTGGATTGTCCCGGAAGATTGTCGAGATCTTTAAAAATATTTTAAATATTAATTCTATGGAGGCTATAAATGATATAGCTAAAATTATTAAAATGACAAGGAATCCATAATTATAAAACCAATTTTGCTCAAAATCCAAAAATGTCATAACAATGAGTGCTATTTTTAGGCCTGACAGGCCTAAAGTAAAGATTATAATAACCATGCTATAGTTAAATTAATTGTTCTCTAATTTATGGCACTCATGGTCATAACCATAAATCATATACATACACTTTGCCAACATTTCCAGACTTTTAGACATTAGTAGCAGTCACTAATTTTGTGTATAAAAATAGTATTGATGTTTTTAACACATTCACAAGATTGAAATTGCGAGCTGTAAAATAATAAAAATAGTCATTAATAGTTTTTAAATAATTTAAATTAAAATAATCACCATTTTGTTCATAGATAATAGAGTGGATGCTTGTTTTATTATCATTATGTTTTTGCAAAAGCATATCCATCTGCCCATCAATGTATTGTTCGGTAGCGTATGGTTTATTCTCGAGTGTATCACAAGTACATAATTTTATAGACATATCGTTTTTATTTAATAATAAGCGTAGATTGTCAGGTGTTATATCTGGTTGAATTACTGAAGATGTTGATATAGAATATGACTTATTGTGAATATATTGCAAGCAATCCATGAGTTCCATAAATATTTTATGTGAAATGATATAATCGGCAACAATAATCTTTTCTGTTGATAATCTCCCTAATAATTGTTGATTTTCTTTGAATACAGATTTGAGTGTTTGTGTGCAGTACTCCATATTTACGAACTGATGCATGCCTTCTGTCCACGAGTCATGATATTTTATCTGAATGTTTCGGTCCAGTTTTACCAAGTTTTTTACTTCACTGAGTTCTCGTGCTTTGTTTAGTTTACCATAATCTGTATTATTTTAAAATTAAAATGATTAGAATTTACAGTATTTTAAATATAAAATTACCTTGACCATGATAATTTAATCTTTTATAACCCAATTCATTTATTACCTTAAACATTTGCCCGAAACTGCCAGAACTTATGTTTAAGATATCATTGATTTTTTGAATTTTACAATTCTCATTAAATGACATATTATTTAAATAACAATCAGGATTAATTTTATTGGCATCAGTTTTAATTAATGATTGTTGTTTGTATTCCTTTAATTCTTTCAAATTTAATGTATTATAAGTAATTTGACATTCAGTGGCGTAAAAATCAATATAATTATCATATGTTGTCTCAATTACTTTGTGTTCATTAGATATTTTATAGATTTTATCATTCATTGAAACACAAATAAATTCTATTCTATTCATGAAATATGAATTGAATTGTTGTAAATTTTCAAACTGATAATCAGATAGTATTTCTTTCGGAAGTTTTTCAATTAGTTTTATATTATTATCAAAACAAAATTCTTCACAAAAATATAGAAACTTTTTTAATGTGAAAAAATATGTGCCATAAATACTACAACTAATTGATTTCACATTATTTATAGTTGATATTAATCGGGGTGTGAATACTTTGTTATCAGTTATATTGAGTCCCAATTCATAGCCTCTATTGTCGCCCCAACTGAACACATGTCCGTCGGATGTGATGGCAAATGACGAGCCATAACAACAATATATTGATTGTATCTTGATATCAGTAGATGGATTATTATTACAGATAAATTGTAATTCAATTGGAGTAGAAATATATTCAATATTATCTCCGCAACCAATTTGTCCCCAATTATTAAGACCCCAGGAATACACCCGGCCATCACTAGTTAGCACAACTGTGTGAAAATCTCCGCAACAGATTTGGACAATAATTTTGTCATCAAAATATGATATTACTTCTGGATGAAGATAATCTTGGTCATCATCAATAGCCCGGGCTAATTGTCCCCATGTATTACATCCCATACCGTATATTTCGTAGCAATCATTGACGGCTAATACAAAATCCAATCCATTGACAAAGTATTGTATGTTTTGATGACATAATTGTGGTATTATTTGTGGTGATAATACAGGCCTGTTGTGTCCTAATCCAAGACATCCGTTGCTATTAGTGCCCAAAGCATAGACCAAGTTGTCATTAGTTATATACATAACATTAATGCCATCTCGCCAGTCGTAGAACGAATGAAATTTTATTACATTTTCAATTGAATTTTTTGGTATTTCGTAGAAACAATTATAATATTTCAACAATTCATACATTTTAAAATCAAAATGTCAATTAAATAATTAAGAATTCTAACAGGCACAATAATATATCAAACAATATAATTTTATTTAATGTACGTAAGTTACAATTATTATTTTCAAAGTAGTTTCACATTTAAACACAAATGATTCGTTGACTATTCACTGATAATATTGTATGTGTAGCATTTTACTAAAAGCATTATAGTACACAATTAATTGCTAAAACATGACTTTTGGACTCGTTCCTAAAAACCATATGTAATAGAACAAATATTACTAATAATTGAATTGCCCTATTGTTCCGTTATTTATCACCTATTTTGTTATCATTTTAAGTTAGAGGTAATGCTTGTGTAAAAAAGTGACGATAAGTGTATTTACTTTAACCTTGATTAGGTTTACATAAAGTTGGGGGATTAATAGATTATATTTTCAAAAATATGGCTTTAAAATATAATTTTATTTTTTAGTACTTTTGGGTTAGGAAAGAGAATTTCGTAATGGTGTTGCGATCCGAGCGGTTAGTTTGGGAACAAATTGGGGATTGGTTATTGCGGAACCGGTCGCTACTTATACCGCATACTTATATCTCAAATAAGTAACACATATTGCCGATAAACACCATTTATTGATTGTATTAATTGTATGAATGAATGGGTGTGTGAGTGAAGTGAAACATTGCGAACACTTAGGACTGGCTAAGTGTGAAGTCAGCACAACACTGAGAGTACAATGTGTGGAATCGGGGCTTTTATACTGTGCATAGTATAGGAATTGCATTGACATTTTTATTAGATATACATAAGAATCGTATGAAAATGTATGCAAAGTGTAGTGTATTAGATGACAATTGTTTGGTATGTTATAACAGGTAATAACTCGCATTAATAGGTATATTGGGTAACAATTGCTGGGATTGAGGCTATATGATACGATTTGGTTATATTGTGCGGGACTGCTATGCAGTAGTGGTTATATGTTTGTCGTGGCATGAATACAGAGGATACCAAAGGGGTATTCAAGCGGTAATAATGGAATATACAAAAACAGTTGCATAGAAGAATAAGTTTTTGCTAATGTAAAAAATGAATTACTTTTATGTTACAATTTTGTTTAGACAATTCATAGTCACTGTTTGTTTTTATATAAACAACATAATGCTTGAAGAGTGTTTAATGCAAAATCCATTTTAGGAATATTTGTTATAACATTTAATAAGTATTTTGATTGTTAATTATGTTTGCCAACTGCAATATGGGTTATATGATCGGTCGGTCGCCCCTTCTGTTACTCCAATTAACCTATCTTTGGTAAATGGTTAGAATTTACCGACACCTCATCTATCTCTATCACTGATGTTTTGAACAATAAATATTGATAGAAAAATGGGTTATTAGAAGAATTAAGTGTATTCAACACTTTATCGAAATGCAATTCATTAGTGATCATTGACTTATCGAGAGACCAGTGACGATGTTCTTCTAGTATTTGAGAACTTGTGGGCCGTTTATTCTCCTTGGGGTTTATCATTGAGTATACTATTTGTTCCAACTTTTTATACCTTTCCACAAATGTTGCATCTTTGTATTCTTCGTGGGAAACCCAACTTAATACAAAAAGTTTTTCAATGTGTACTTTGCATAAATTACATATCAATAACTTACTTAATTGAAATTTCCATTCCAACCACTCCCAAACTATAAATATCAGCTTTTATACCATATTTACTAAGCACTGTTTCCGGTGCTTTATAACCGGCTGTCCCAACACCGCGCGTATGACTTTTAAATTGTTCATGTTCAGTTGCCAAACCGAAATCACATAATTTTATAAACATTTTGTTGCAGTCATTTATCATAATGAGTATATTCTTGGGTTTTATATCGCGGTGAATTACTGGCGGATTTTGATTGTGAAGGTATTGAATGCCTTGCAAAAGATCATAAAACATTTCACAGGAAACGAAATATTCAATAATATTCATCGTTTTATCCGGTTGTCTCCCGAAGACAATGGGTTTGTCTTTGAGAACAGATTCAAGATTTTGCGAACAAAACTCCATTTGAATGTAAACATAATGGGATTCAATCCACGAGTGGTAATACTTTACCACATATTTTGAGTCGAGTTTTGCCACACTGTTCACTTCATTTAAAATATCAATTTTCGTAATTTCACTGAAATCTGTAATATTTTATAAAATATTAATATTTGCCAAAAATGTTATGATTTAATTAAAAACATCATTTACCGCCAAATTGATGTCTTTTAACGGCATATATCTTATCATCCAATCTATGCTTTACTTTATATACTGTCGCAAAAGAACCACAATTTATTGCTGATAACTCAATAAAATATTTATAATAATTTTCTTCGTTTGAATTTCTGTCCGTTTTGTATGATATAAACTCATAGAAAAATGAGTTTTTATATGCCTTAATTTTTTCTATTATTATAGTAAAGTCTTTATATTTTGCAATTTCATTTCTATCAAATGACCAATGTACTGAGTCCTGTAATATCTTGCTACTTTCCGGTCTTTTTTCCATATTAAATTCAACCATTGAATATGCAATATCATATAGATGATTAAACTTGACACTAATATCGGTTGATTCGTATTTCTTCTTTGGATCACCACTAAAAACAATTGATTTATCATTAGTCAAAACAATGATATCTGTTATATACAACTGTTATATATCTGTGATATCTGTGATATCTGTTGTATCTTTATATGTTATTTTATAATTAGTAAAACCATACAAATAACAATGTTTGTGGTAACATTAAAATATAAAAAAAATTTGATAAATATTATATAATATATTAACTTCTACATATTACCCCTCCCGGAAAGAAACTGAACACTCATTAACTTAAATTCAAATTCAATTTATTTAATTATAAATTAAATTAAATCAATTATGTAATCGCCATTATTATTGACTATCATCTGCCATTAATCCATCAAAGTCTTAATCCCATTCGTGAAAAACTCGTTGGTTTTACCGCCGAAGAATGATAAGAGACCAGATTTGATAACATTGATATCGGCGAAGTTCTTGCCCTTAAGGAAATGGGACGGCGACCGAAACACATGATAATCTGATAGAGGGATAACTGGAGTATATGGTGGGTGTAGAGAGATTTGTCACTCAAAGTAAACTAATTTTTTTCGGGTGATTTTCGAAAAATATGGTCTAAAAATAGGCCAAAATAGCCATATTTTGAGTATGTGTCCAATTATCGGCTCGGGAAATTGCGGTAATCGCTTTTAAATAGTCATAACTTGTTGCCCAGTGAAAGCATATAATAACCAACAAATCCATATATGGAAGTCATTAATTGGACACATCCCGATAATTTGGCACCCGATTTCCCACTTTGTGGGGTCGGCCCGTTCGGGTGCGGTCTTTGTGGTCATAATCAATGGACATTGACCTTTTAAACAGTTCATATCATTGATTGGTAAATAATACATCACCTCAAACTAATACATTATTTTTGTGAGCCAATTTAATAACCCTCAAGAGGAAAACTAAAATAAGTTAGGTTTTTTAATGTGCTCGGTATCGGGGGTTCGGGTAAAATGGACACTTATGGGTTAGTTATAATTATTTAGTTATAACTAAAATTTAACACCAATAATAGGACATCAATTATACAAATTGGTTTGATTTGTAAACAATCGATTTCATGTCCAGAATTAACTTCAAATATATGCTATATTAGTGTTTGGTATCTTTCCGTTATACTCAATAACTTAAACACGTTATCTAATGAGCTAATGCATTTAAACTTTGTATTAACTATACTATTCACCAAAAGTGGTTTGCAGTACATGCTAGACTTAAATATTGTTCAAATAGTTGGGTAAATTAAATAAATATATGCATTCAAACAATTTTGTAAATTAGAATAATTAATATTTAATATACATATTTACCTTGTGTTTATTTCAAACAATTTGAATCCAGTCACACCAACACTAAAAATATCTGCTTTAAAGTCATACGTATTATCAAGACCCACTTCAGGTGCTGTAAAATCGGGAGTTCCCGCCCCACAAGTATGGCTCATAAGTACCCGATTGTGTTCAGTGGCCAAACCAAAGTCACCCAACTTTATAAACGTATTATTAATAGTGTTTTGTAAAATTAAAATATTCGCCGGTTTTATATCCCGATGAATGATCGGTGGGTGCAATCCATGAAGGTATTGAACGCATTGCAAAAGTTCACGAAATATTTCACATGATATAAAATATTCATAGATATTAAAGGGATCCGAGCGTTGCCTTTGAAATAGTGTTTCTTTGTCTTTGAGAACATCATTAAGATTTTGTGGACAGAACTCCATTTGAATGTAAAGTTGATTGAATTCAATCCACGAGTGATAATACTTTACCACAAAATATGAGTAACATTTTGACAAAATGTCCACTTCTTTGAGAACACGGGATTTTTCCTCTTCATTAAATGCTATTAAATGTTTAATAAATGAATATAATTTATTTGTGAAAAATATACATGATATTTACTATTAAATTGTATCTTTTTAACGGCATATATCTTATCATCCAATTTATGTTTTACTTTGAATACTGATCCAAAATTACCAGAACCAATTGTTTTTATTTCAATAAATTCGTTATTATAAGTTGTGTTAGTATTGCCATAACTTGATTTGTCATTATTGATGGATATATTTTTATTTGTATTACTCAACAAATAACGATAGAAAAATGGATTATTACTAGTTTGTAGTTTATTTTGTAGTTCGTCAAATTCGATGTCATTACCAATAACTATTTGTTTATCTATAGACCAGTGGTTATAATCGTGTAATATATTACTACTTGTTGGCCGTTTGTCAGCCATAATCTCAATCATTGATTTTATAACATCGCGAATACCATTTAATTCATTCATAATTGTGGTAACATTTAATTTGTGATGTTTGCTAATATAATACATTAAATATATTATTAGAAATTGCAATATTAACCTTGAAGCACTAGCAATATCAACAGCACGTTACAAAGCCCAATATAAATAAATTTTACTGTAAATACCTTTGGTTTATATCAATATCAAATAGTTGTAATCCAATAATTCCAACGCTATAAATATCTACTTTTATATCATATTTAGTAGAATTACGAACTTCTGGTGCCATATATTTTGGCGTTCCTTTCCCTATGCTGTGAGCCATATCGGGCTCGTGATATGTAGCCAGAGTTAAGTCACCCAGTTTTATAAACCTATCATTATGTGGATTATTTAATACCAACACATTATTGGGTTTTATATCCCGATGGATGATCGGTGGGTTCGATGAGTGAAGGTATTTAACAGATTCCAAAAGTTCACGAAATATTTCACACGATATGAAATGTTCAAATATTTTCATCGGTTCTTTTGCTTGTCTATTAAATACATGTGACTTATCTTTGAGTACATCTGCGAGTGTTTGCGGGCAGTACTCCATCTGTATGTACAGGCGTTCCCTTTCAATCCATGAGTTGTTATATCTAACCATGTATTTAAAATTTAGTTTTGCCAACATTTCCACTTCTTTTAGAACTTTATTTTGTTTTTCGTCATCATAATCTATAAATATTTTATTTTATAAATAATATATATTATTCTATTTAAATCAATTATTTATTAATCAATATAATTAATTCATTATATATAATGTATTTGTACTGTTGTGCGGCTTCACCTTTATAATTAATAATTATTATTTTATTATTTACCTTCAATTTGTATTATTTTAATGGCATATATCTGTTGATCCAATCTATGGCTTACTTTATACACAGTGGCAAACGAACCGGAACCAATAATTTCTATCACTTTAAAATTATTTTCATAATAACTTTGATTTAATTTTTTTGCCATTTTAAGATCATTTAAGTAAATATAAATTCGTTTATTTTATTTAATTAATACTTCTTATTTATTAGTTATACAATTACAATTTAAATTTTGACTAAAATTAACTCTTATTATTTTTTATTAATAATTGTTTTTACTACTAACTACGTACTTACAAAATGCATATAACATACAGTATATGAACGTTTTATCATTAATACAACTAGGTTTGATTATAAATAATATTATCAATAATAGTCAATAGCTAACAAGAAATAGTTTTAGCGTTATATATTTTTTTTGTTAAATATTTGATTGATGTTATCACAATAACCATTATAACAATTCATTATAAAATGTATTATAAAAATAAAGTTATTGATAAATACAGAATCACACAACAATGCTATATTTTTAACACAATTCTGGTAGTTCTTCAAAGAAACGTTACACGTTAGATTAACAGTGCCACAGACTTAGCATCTAACCATAGAATTTTGTTAAACCCAATCCTGTATGTCATTGACTTAATTTATAGAACCCCATGTTAATTTAATGAAAATCTCCAATGTTAAAATATAGCCATAGACTTAACATAGGAATCCTTCTTATTTCCCGAAGAGAAGGGAGGGAAAGTAGGTCAAGTTTTCTTATAAACAACATTATTCAAAACTAAATTGTGGTTACAATGTTAAATAATTGAACCCTGTTTAAATTATTTTTACATTTTATTGTCAGTCCCATAAAATAACATGCAAAAGTAGATTGTTTCTCTTTTTCTATAAACGTCTGGCCTAGAGATCGAGTACCGGTGCTGCTCGTGGTGTTGGCACACGTAGTCCGGTTCCCACCGCCCGACCCGTTAATTTCCATACGATTTTCCACAGCGTTTGCCATAATCTTGAAGAATAAATCCTTACCTATTCATACAATACAAACATTTAATTAATCAATTAATACAATCATTTAAACCATAGTGAACTCCATTATAGCGAACAACAATAGTATATTAACCAATAACGTAATAATTATAAAATACATATTAAGTCTCTAATAAACAGCTAATTAAATGCATAATTAAACTTCAACTTAACGTTAAAAACCAGAGGACCGCAGAGCGGGCATAATTGGGCATTCGCGGGCATTGCTATAATGTATTGTCTATGAGAGCTAGCGTTGCCAGTTAATATTTTAAGCCTATTTGCCAATTCCTGTTAAAAACTAATTACTAATAAGTTATAATTATTTGAAATTATAGGATTATCGAATAAAATTAGCATTGTCATAGAATAGGCATTAGACATGTTAAATCTAATAATATTCTTAAGCTATAATACTGTTGTGTGGTGAGCTCGTACTCAAGCTTCACTCCACAAAACTATGTCATGAGCGGAGGTCTTACCGAACCTCTCAGCTCACAACTGCTCAAATCGATCCCATTTGTTGCAATTGTTAGTCAAATATGTTAGTATATGTTATGGGCGATTGCCCGAATTGTTTTATTTGTTAGTAAACATATCTGGCTATAGTTATACTTCAGTTCCCGAGCGGTGGAACTGTTGCCTAAAGATTCTCATTCACTATGATTATAAATACTGAGTTCATGATTAATGGATATACGCGCCGTGAGAGGGCGCGTATGTAGTGCTACTCTAAGTGTACCTAAGAGTGAAGGCATACGTCAGAACTATTGCGAAGTGTAGAGGTTTGGACTACACATGTTTAACACAGGAGAGCTAACATTGGGTGTACGTGCCGTGAGAGGGCGCACAATGAGTATTCTCTAAAGGGGGTTAACAAGTTGTTACATTTTATACATTATCTCAAGATTACTACCCCTTAAAACTTGAGTACGTGGTGATCCCATAATTAATACTAAATAATACTGTTAGTTACATCAATAGGTGGCGTTAGTTACGCCACATACTCATGTATTGAATTTAGGAAATTTGTAAAACATTGTTTCTTACGATTGTCTGTTCTGGTCAGAAATCTGTCGGTCAACTCGGGATTATTCAGTCACTTCGGGAATGTTCAGTCACCTCGGGAATGTTCAGTCACCTCGGGAATGTTCAGTCACTTCGGGAATGATCAGTCTTTTACCACAATAACCAAGTTTTCAGAGAATACGTGAATCAAAATACACTTTAACTAATTCATAAGAAGTTTATTTATTGCATAAAAATTGATTAAAACTTACATTAGTTTTGTTTGATATTTATAGTATTTGTAACAAATTATTGTTTGATTTAAATTAACATTAAAATAGTTAACAATTTTTTAGAACAAATTTTTAGAAAATTTAGACTTTTTTATAAACAGTATTTTCTACTACTTATCAAAAGTCTGAAATTATTTTCAGATTATTATTGTAAAAGTACAAACATTTACTCTATTTTTTAACCATTAATATTTGAGTATTTTATGTGTAGTTAACAAAAACATTAAATTATTTTGGGATTTGAAGATAACCATAGACTTAATGTATTTTAGTTTTAGCTATTTTTTCTGATTAATATTCATTTTCTATTAATTTTGGTTTCAAATTACATTAACATTAAAGTACTAATCATTTTTAGGTGTAAAAGTACCTAAAATTGTTTTCAAATAGTTTTCAGTAAATAGTTTTCAATTAATATTGAAATTTATAGTTTAAACTTTAGGTACTAGTGTACTTTTAATGGAGAGCGCCATTATTATATAACTTATATATGTTATACAACTATTCAACATAACATCGCCTATAATCACGGCATTTATGATTGCATTAAGGCCTAAAAAGTTGTAGTGTTTTTGTGTAAAATTTATTTCTACTGGTGTGCCGACGGCTAAGTTTGTCCTCAGGTCAGCCCTTATATCAATACCATAAATCCCGGCTAAACTCATTTTTAAGTAGAAAAATTGTCCCCGTGTTATTCTATATGAGACTCATGTTAAAGTGTAGCCATAGGATTAACATAGGGCGAGTTAGAAGGTGACCGGATAATTGTATTAACCACATAATTAATATATGATTTTGGTTTTAAAAAACTAGTTTAACTGATCTAAAAAATAAAACTGAATCTATATAGTATTTGTTATAATCTCTAACGGATTAATTCATAAATTAATTATTGTTAATGAAAATAGTCATAATATTCATTTATAAATAATTTGTTTCAAACTACAAATCTATGCTTCAATTTAAATTCTGTCCCAAAAACCACCCGAACCTATGACTAACGTCTTAAACAATTGATTTAATAGTTTTCATTATTTTCAGTATTAGTGATAACAGTCAACTTGTCAAAAGGTAAGCAATGTCAACATGGTCTTAGGAAATAAAATATAATATTACCCGCATTTATCCACTTTGAGCAAGGATGTTTCATGACCCATTTGTTACGAATATTGTATTTAACACAATCTATAAAAACATATATAACTTTATATAAATTACTATATTATATATAATACTTGAAATAAAAATTACCTGAACTTTAGAATAGCGCCCTAAATTGTTTTCAATTAATACGCTCATTCAGGTGATTAAATAATTTTAAATTAGTTGTATTATATGTTATCTGGTATTCGTTGACGTAAAAGTCGATGAAATTAGTATAATTTGTTTTAATTAATTTGTGTTCATTTGATATTTTATATATTTTATCGTTTATTAAAACACAAATGAATTGAATTCTATTCATTGGATGTGAATTAAAATGCTGTAAATCTTGGTAACAATGTTTCAATAATATTTGTTTCGGACTTTTTATTATTATTTTATTTTTTAAGCTAGTAACTTTTCCACAATAATATAATCCATTGGATGTCAAAAAATATGTGCCATAAATGCTGTAACATATTTTCATTACATTATTTAACGTAGATATCAATCGGGGTTTAAATATTATTTTATCAATTATATTGTGTCCCAATTCATGGCCTCTATTGTCGCCCCAACTGAACACATGTCCATCAGTTGTGATGGCAAACGAGGAGTTATAACAACAATAAATGGATTGTATTTTATAATTATTAATGAATTGTAATTCAATTGGTGTCGAAATATATTCAATAGTATCTCCGCAACCGATTTGTCCGAAACCATTGCCGCCCCAGACATACACCCGGCCATCACTGGTCAGCACAAGTGTGTGGGCATAACCACAAGTAATTGAGTGAATAGTTTTACCTTCAAAGTAGGTAATCATCCCTGGTTTAAGACAATCATGGCCAATTTGGGTAAACCTCGCCAATTGTCCCCATATATTATTACCAAAACCATATATCATATTCATGTCATTCATTGCTAATACAAAATTCAATCCATTGACAAAGTATTGTATGTTTTGTTGACATAATTCTGGGACAAGTTGTGGTGAGAGTACGGGTCTGTTGTGTCCAAATCCCAGACATCCGTCCATATTATTGCCAAAACCGTAGACCATATCATCGTTTGTAATGAACAACACATTATAACATTCTCTTTGATCATAAAAAATATGTACTTTTAATATATTTTGTTTAATGAACATAAGCTAAATAAAATGCGGATGGTTTATATACCATAGCCATAATTTCTAACAACAAAAAGATTTGCAGTTAATCAAATATTTTATGATGATAATAAAATCATAAGTGTTTATTCTTTGTAAAATATTAAGCATAAATAGTTAATTTATTATTCATGTTAATGATATAATATATCAACACTTGAAACGCATTTTACTAATATCTTATGTTATGACTATTTGCATCTCAATAACTACCTGAACCTATTATGATTCATAAATATCTTACATCTTTATTATTATAGAATATTTGTATTTATAATAACAATTCATAGAAAATAATGAGTTATCATTAGATTTAAGGGTATTTAAAAATTTAGATAAAAATCGGCGCCTGTAATCCGGGTCTCACCGCCGGAGCCGTTAATCGTAATACTTATGCATACAAAACAAATGATTAATTTAATAGTTTTTATTTAGTTTAAGCATTTCTATGTATTGGTTAATAATTTAATAGAATGACCATTTGCCCTTTTAAATAATAATCAACAATTATATGTAATCATATAATTTTGCATTTCATAATTAATCCCTGAATGTAAAATCACTCGAAAACAAGTGTACGTCAATCAGTGAAAACGGTTGTAAATAGTAAATAGTTTTCTTATCAATCACTATTAATATATACCTGTATATTCGTATATGAAATATATAGTATTGTCTTTACCTTACATTATCACAAATAGTTTACAGATATTTTATTTATTATAAATATTACAAAACACCATATTATATTTACACATTACATGTGTACAACACATTAATGCTAAAACAATTTATCATAAATATATTAAATTTATACATTTTACAAGTGTTATCAAACAAATATCACGTAGCATTAAAATAGTAAATTATTTAGTTTGCATAATAAAAATTCATAAAAAAATGTATTATTGTACAATTTAAGCATATTTAACACGGCATTAATTTCAGTATTGTTTGCCATAATTTCTCGTTTATTTATAGACCACTTGTTATACTCCCGTAGGACTCGACTACTGGTCGGCCGTTTTGTGGCCATTGACTCAACCATTGACCAAATAATTTTACAAACATGATTAAAATTAACTGAAAATTCTGCACGGTCATTATTGGTAGGATTATCGCTAAAATTAAAACAAGATAAAATTTATTTAAAACCTAAACAAAAAATGTTCACATACATCATTTAATAATTAATAAAAAATAGTAAAGTACATACATCACTTCAAATAGATCATAACCAATAATTCCCATACTATAGATATCGGCTTTAAAATCAAAGTTAGTTGAGGTAAATACTTCGAACGCTATATATCTAGCTGTGCCCACACCCTGGCGATGTGTCATAGTGTCCCTATCATGTTTGGTGGGGGTCACCAAACCAAAATCACCCAGCTTTAAAAATGAATTATTGCGGTGGTTATACAAAATTAATATATTGTCGGGTTTAATATCCCGGTGAATGATCGGTGGATCCAATCCATGAAGATATTGTATGCATAGTAAAAGTTCCCGAAATATTTCACATGATATGTAATACTCGTATGGATTCATGAGATCGGCCGGTGATTGTCTACCAAATGCCGTCCATTTGTCTCTTAGTACAGTCCGTAAGGTTTGTGAGCAGTACTCCATTTGAATGTACAGATAGTCCGATTCAAACCACGATCGATAACATTTGACCACAAAATTTGAGCTCAATTTTGGCACCATTTCTGCCTCTCTCTTCACAAGTGTTTTATTTTCGTTACATAAATCTGTAAATAATTATTTATAATGTTAGTAAATTTATTGATTTATATATACTTTTATTTATTTAATATAAACTTTATATCTTACCATGTATTCGTATTTTCTTTACGGCATATATCCGATTATCAGTATTTTTACTCACTTTGTACACTTTACCAAAATTTCCCAATCCTATTATACAAATCTTGGTAAAAATTATTTTTAAAATACCATTAACAAGTATAAATGATTTTGCCATTTAATTATTTTAAATTATTAAATTTGAATATTATTTTATTAATTTATCATTAAATATTCTATCTCGAATTTAATATTTTACAATTGTACAATTTTGTATCGTATTGTATTGTATCAATAAATTGTTATTCTATTCTATTCTTTACATGTTATGACATTAATTGAAGCAACATGTTATAATCATAACAAAACTATTTAACTACCTTTAAATAATACAGTAGTGTTGGTAATTAATTGGAAAAATAGTAAACACTTGACGTGTTATATTAATTAAAATTGCAAAAAAGCATCTATGTAAGCAATCATAAATAGTGATAATAATTTCTATAGTTAAATTATTTATATTAATTTTTAGTTATAATTATATCATTGCAACCAATATGAGTTGTATGGGTTTTTTAAAAATAATATTTTACTCTTAATTATTATTTAATTATTAAATTTTGTTGTTGTTTTATTTATAGAATTAAAATATTGTCCAGCTAAAAATGTTTTTCAAGTAAATGTTAACAGATCATAATATGCACAAGAACATGATGGTCTTTTCGTACAGGTATGAATTAATTATTAAATTATCATTGTATTTAATAATTATATAGTAAAATGTTTGAATTTAATTTAATTTTTTAAACTAAAGTTTAAAAAAATTTAAACTTATATTATCTTATAATATCTTATAATATTATTTATTAATCAAATAAATTAACTTTTATTTGAAATGTTTTTTATTTTCGGTATTTTATTATTGAAAAACAATTAAATAAACTAACCGATTCACAAATAGTTTATTATAAACGTGAATAATTCATTTAACTAAACATACTGAATATTAAAAATGTGATATTTTGACTATTTCTGTATATTCAAAGGGGAGACAATTACTATAAATATATAATAGTAACGCTTATTTTAAATTATAGTATATTTGATTTGGTCATTCAGCAATCACAATTAATTAATTACATCCCTGCCCTCCCTCAAACCGTCTTGATTATAACTATACTATTTATATAACATATAAATTAATTATACATTTAATTATTTATATAATTATAAATTTATTAATTGAATATAAAGAAAATGTTTGTAACTAATTATATAATCAAAAGTAATTTGAATTTTATATATGGGAACAGAAATCTGGTATAATTTCGAAAAAGCTATAACTTTTTTTGTCTATAAATACAAAATAATTATAAAATAATTAAAGCAATATTATAATAATTGTTTTAAAAAGATTAACATTTTAAATATTGTATATACAGTAAGTATTTAAAAATAAAGCTGCTGTAAAATTTCTATAATAATAAAATTAATATATTATGTATAGAATTAAAATTTATGAGTAAGCTTTATAAAATATATATTATATAATTAACATAACATATATAATATATTAATTAATGACATTTTTGGAAATTGTTGTGTGTCAAATCTCTTACAAACGATCACAAAATTAATGTTATTATTTAATTAGATAACTACATTAATTAATGTAATAGAAAATATAAAGTTTACTTTTCTATTCGGACACATTAGCCAGAATAACATTACAATACAAGGTAATTTATTTTACACCATAAATAATCATAGAAAAACATATTTCCTTTAGATTTAATTTTATTTAATTCTTGTGAATTTCTTTTAACTATTTTTCTATCGACAGACCACTGATTATAGCTCTCGAGGACGCCAGCAATTGTTGGCCTATTGTCGGGCATATACTGAACCATTTGTCCAATCATTTCATAAAATTTATTAATATTAGCCGAAAATTCTGCTAAATTGTATTTTTCCATAGGATTACTATATATAAAACAAAAAATCATTTTACAGTTTATGTTTTTAAATGTAATAACTTTAAATGTTAAACCGATACACACAATACGTTATCCCTGTATGCGCCACGACGTGTATACCATAGGGAGTTGTCTAAGACAACTTGTCTTACATTTAAAGTTATTACATTTGAAAACATGGATCGTTATATAAAACTGATATGAATTATTTATTGTGTTTGTAATTTATTCGTAAGCATACTTATATAAATCAAGCAAATGCTGTGCAATGACTCCCAAACTATAAATATCAACCATAATAGTATATCTCGACTGGTGTACTTCAGGTGCCATATAAGCTGAAGTTCCGGCCCCTGCCGTATGGCTCATGGATTGTCTCTCGTGAGTGGTGGCTAAACCAAAATCGCACAGTTTAATAAATCGATTATTTCTAACGTTGTGTGCGATTAGTATATTATCGGGTTTGAGATCCCGATGAATAATCGGCGGTTTAGATTCATGTAAATATTGTACACATTCTAAAATTTCTTTAAAAATTTCACAACAAATATAATATTCATTGATATTCATCGCGATTTCCGATTGTCTCCCGAAGACAATGGCTTTGTCTTTGATAACAGACTTAAGGCTTTGCGAACACAACTCCATCTGAATGTACAGATGGTTAGACTCAAGCCATGAGTTGTAATATTTGACCGCATAATTTGAGTCTAGTTTTGACATAATTTTTACTTCTTTGAGAACTCGTTGTTTTTTCTCTTCGCTAAACTCTGTAAAAATATTTATCTTTAATTATAAAACATAATCAAAATTAGTAATATTTACCATTTAATTCTATAGATTTTACGGCAAAATTCTTAAGATTCAATCTATGCTTTACTTTAAAAACTGCCCCAAAAGCACCCGAACCAATCTTTGATATTTCCTCAAATTGTGTTTCATATTCAACAATATTTAATTTACACGTCAAAAAGTCATAGAAAAATAAGTTCTCTTTAGACTTAATTGTTTTTTAAATTTGATTAAATTCTTTATGATTAGTGATGACATTCTTATTGACTGACCATTGATAATAATAATCAAGAATTTGACTACTAGTCGGCCGCTCGTTGTCATATCGATTGAGCATTTGTTCAACCATTTCGCATAATTTGTTGAAATTGACCAAACATTCAGTTAAATTATCTTCTATAAATGGACTATCATCAGATGGATTTAGGTCAAATAAATGATTTGCAATAATTCCGAGGCTATAGATGTCAACTTTTATGTTGTAATATAGACATGTTGCGGTATGTGTTTCGGGTGCCATATATTCAATATCGCTCATCTTAGGCATGTTATGTTTTGTGGCAAAACTAATATCTCCAAGTTTAATAAATCTATTATTTATGACATCATGTTCAATGTATATATGTTTGGGTTTGAGATTCCGAAGAATGATCGGCGGATCCAATCCGTGTAAATACTGAATACATTCTAATAGTTCTTTGAATATTTCACAACAAAAAAAATATTCAAAGATATTCATTCCTTTATAGCTCTCTCGGCCAAAGATAATAGCCTTGTCGTCGATAACGGATTTAAGGGTTTGCGAGCAATATTCCATTTGAATGTACAGATGGTTTGACTCAATCCAAGAATTAATATATTTTACAACAAACTCCGAAACAAGTTTTGACATTATTTCCACTTCTTCTAAATGTCGTCGGTTTGTCTCTTCATTCAAACCTATAAAATATTTATTTTTAAAATAAATTTCAAAATAATAGTTATAATAATTACCATCAAACCGTATTCTTCTAACAGAATAGATTTTTTTATCCAATATATGCTTTACTTTAAATGCAGTCTTAAAACGACTCGTAATTAAATTGCGAGAATCAGAAATTGCAATAAAATTGTTGTTGAAATAACCGTCATTTGACATATTTAAATCAATTTTATTTTATATTATTTAATGCCAAACAATATTCAATAATTTGTCATTTATATACATTATATATAATTATGAATGCTGATTTTATTTATTATAACAGCACATACAAAGTATATTATGGTGACGTGTACAAGTCTTATACTGAAATAGACTTTAATATTTTGCACATTTTAATAGTTATATTTATTTTGATATTTAAAAAACTATTAATTTGTAGTTAACAAATGAAGCATTAAATGATTAATCATACAATAATTTAAATTATTATAATACTGTCTGCTTTTTTAACATTTGAAATTTTTAAAATAACTTAAAAATATAAATATATTATTTGGAAATTATTGATTTAATAATAATGCAATGTAAAGTATTAGTAACGATATAATGTCAACTATTTGATGTATTTAACTGCATTTATCAGTTCAAACCGTTAGCAACACCGATTTAATGACAATAAATCTGATAATAACTAGAGCATTGATTTTAAGTTATCAAATAAATAACTTTTTGTTCCGAATGCGGAGAACCACCTGAAAGTTTGTGGGCTTAGCATATACCACCTTAGGAGTATTTTGGAAGTTTTTTTTTATTTCACCTTAAATAATACTCGTATGCATTCATGGGATCGGCCGGCGATTGTCTACCAAATGCCGTCCATTTGTCTTTCAGTACAGTCCGTAAGTTTGTGAGCAGTACTCCATTTGAATGTACAGATAGTCAGATTCAAACCACGATCGATAACATTTGACCACAAAATTTGAGCTTAATACAATACAGATATATTTCATCAATATAAATTAACACATGGACACTTAAAAATTGATACTAACTAATTAATTAATTTGTAATCAATCAATATTTTATTTGTAATATTTAATTTTCCATGACCAAACTTAGTTGGGTCCCTTTTTTGTAGAAATTCGATTTAAGTGATTTAAACTATACCATTACATTCAGCATGATACAATAATAAAATCAATTGCAAAAAATTTTGCCAATGGCCCTTGTACATAATTAAAATTAGCTAATTAAGTTTAACAAATTATGGTACAAATTTCAATTTTACCGGTTATAGTATTGTAAATATACCTTTAATTGCATTTATTGGTATAACTGATATATGTTTGCCTTTGTATATTTCTATTGTAGCTAGGATAGTGAAATTAATTTTATAATTTAAGGTAACATTCCTAGGCACCAAAAACCAAGTTTCATAAAGATCGGATGATTGGTGTTTGTA